CGTTTTTAATTGCTGAAGGTTCCTTTTTTTTTTTTTTTTGACTGTAATGAAATACATAGGATTTCTGTAGGCTAGGCTAAGTGACCGGGGGTTTCAGTGGGAGATTGCTAGTGGAGCTTCCTTGGTTTTAAGCTTGTTTTCTATTTTTGAAGCTAGGAAGGGCCCATACCCTAAATACATGATGCTATCTTGTTTCTTAGGGGTTTTGACTTCAACGTCATTCAAATCTCCGTAGACAAGCTGTTCCTCGCTCCCCCATGGCCTTCTTACCCCACTGCGTTCTCCTTTCTGCAAGACCGATGATGTTCGTTCATGTCCTTAGAACTTGGTGCTGTGGTCTGCGCTAATCTTAGGTCTAGCCTTTTCCTCTGCCATGGGGGATTCTTAGGATTTCCTACATTGTACAGTGCTCACTTGAGTTTGCATTTCAGTAACAACCCCAGGAGCTGGTTTTCATAGTTTCAAATGTTAATTTCTCCTGTTTGTGTAAATTGATGTTTGTAGTAATTTTTGGTGCAGGGGCAGGGAAAAGGGAGTTTTGGGGTGAAGGGGATGGTCATGCTGTAGGGATGGGTTATAGGTGATTTTATTGGCTTTCTGGGTTGAATGAAAAGCAGTTTTCCAGGAAATAGCGAGGCAGTCCGTAGAGGACATTCGTTATTTTACTGGAGCTGGGAAGTTCTCTGATGACTTGAACAAGTGATTTAGTGCTTCTGCACAGACCCCACACTGAGTCCCGAGACCAACAATGGAAACACTCCTAAAGTAACCTTTGTATTTGTGTAGCCTTTTAAGGGGTGAGGGAGAGTGCATTTATTTATTAATTCAGGAGCCCTGTCGTCCCCATTCTGCAGATAGAGTTAGATCAACAGCAACTCAATAATATCTGATTACTTCAGTGTAAAACCCAACCTAAAACAGGAAAGCCCACATCTATTGTGTGCCCTGTCAAAATGGGCATATCTTCATTTCGGCATCTCATCCATCCTTTAGAGCGTCAGAAAGTACTGAGTTGTATACCAGGCAGTATCAATACAGCAATGAGCAAAATAGATGGATGCCAGTAAAAACAACAACAACAACGAAAGCATTCTCAGAGAACTGAAAACATTTTAGTAATTGGTCTTCAACCCAAACCTCACCCCCCCCCACCATTTCATCTCCTTCTTTCCTCCCTTCCTCCTTCCCTCCCTCCCTTTATTACATTTATTTTTGTTGGAAAGGCAGATTTACAGAGAAATGGGTGAGACTGAGAGAAAGCTCTCTGTTCGCTGGTTTACTCCCCAAATTGTCACAATGGCTGGACCCATCCAAAGCCAGGAGCTTCTTCCTGGCCTCCCACGAAAGTGCAGAGTCCCAAGACTTGCCCATCCTCTACTGCTTTCCCAGGCTTCAAGCAGGGAGCTGGATGGGAAGTGGAGCAGCCAGGACACGAACTGGTGCCATATGGGATCCCAGTGCCTGCAAGGGGAGGATTAGCCATTTGAGCCACCGTGTTGGGCCCCCATTTCATTTCTTGATGTGACTTCTGAAATGCTCTATTTGGCTTTGTAAAAATAAGACTAATAATTTATTACTTAAGATGTAATTGTATGTCCTTCAACATAGTTGTGATTTTAACAGTATCGAAGTAACTAGTTTTAACCTGAATTCATGAAGTAGTTTCTTATGCTCAAGTGTCCTGCTTTATTATTTTATGTTCTATAATGTGAAAGAAAAAAACTGTAGGTTGGAAGTGAAAATGTTTATTCAGCAGTTCTGTAATAAAAGATGTATTTAAAGACATCGTTTTATTTTGAAACTGTGGTGTGATGTCTTTGAAAAAGCTCATGTCGTGTTTGGAATGAAAAGCCTGTCTTCCCAGGTTAATGTATTTATGAAGCTATTAATTTTATACCATGTAGTCTTAGGATGACTTAAAATTTCATGTTAAGCATTTCTCAGTATTATCGTTTTCACTTATTTGTATAAGAGGTGAAAGATTTTACAAACCACTTTCAAATAGTAGAATCCCATTTAAAATTACTATTTCCCTAATAAAATGTAAAGTATTTCCATGGTTGTTCTAGTTCTCATTTTGGCCTGTTAATCTTGGCCAAGAATGCTATTCTACATTTCCATACAGAACAGCGTAATGTAGGATGATCTGTATTTACTCACGTCAATTTTCATAGTTTTGAGCAGCAAAATGGCAAATTGGCACCCTCTGTTGGTCGTTTTATTTACCTACATGCACAAACCTAGGTAATGAAGTGAGTCTGTTGTTCCCAGGAGTGTCTGTTAAATTAGCACATAGGAAACCTCACAAAATAATGGTGTACTCCCACGTAGGGTCCCTTTGACAGGTGCTCCTTTGTTTAGCTGTGCTTTGTTTTGGTAATTTTGTGGTTATTTGCCTCTTTCTGGGGCTGGCCCTCTAATTGTAGCATGCAGAACTGGCATTCACATTGCAGATTTCCAAACAAGCATTTATTTAACTCCAGCAAAAACTATTAGCTACAGTAGCACATTATTAAACAGATAGTGTTTAACAATTTTATTCTCAATTTGGATTAATTAGAAAAACATCATATTTTAGCACCCTAAGTAACTGTTTTGGGGATTATTTAAATTGAAAATAATTCCAGCTTTAGAAAATGTGAGGCTAACCTACTTCAGTTCTTCTCTCTATTTTTTTTTCCAAAGGCAGACTTAATTACTTTATCGGATTGTGCGGTTAATTGTATTTATATTGTGGATAAAGTCACAGATTTGCTGCCGGCCCTGGAAATGCCCAAGCAAATGATTTATAAGTTCAGGGAAGAAAGCCGTTCTCTGCCAGGGGGCTGCATAGTTTGAGAGGACACACTTGGGAGTAGGGACAGGTCAACATCCAGCATTATTTTGCATGATTCTCCCATTTTAGACTTTCACTTGTATGCCAGAGGTTCAAATTTAATCAATCTTAGTAATACCTAGTGCATCTCAGCTTTACACAACCTATGACTATTCCATAATACTTACATTTTTCATTAGAGCTTTTTTTCACCAAAGAAAATTTTATACATTGCATATAAAGACAATTTTTAAAAAATATGGCTACAAATACAAACCAAGTAGATTTATTTAGTATTTCTTGTGCCAATTTAAAGAAATTGATATTTGTGTTTGATTTCTACTTGTCCTTTCAGTATATATTTAACCAAAATATAGAATGCTGAACTTTTCACCTAGGATGAGCAAGTAATCAAATAATGTTCTCCAACATGACAACTAAATTTGAATGAAGTAATCAAGAAGTATTTATGATTTTTGGTGAATGAATGGCCTTGGAATATGCTGGATGGGAACATAATTGGATAGGGCTCTCATTTTTTTAATTATTATACACCGTTATGGGGTTACCGTGCATTGCTTTGATATTACATTATGCGATACCCAAGTCAGGATGAGTGAATCTCTTGATTGACCATTTCATACGGTGAAGCATTCCTGTAGCTTTCTTCTGGATTGTCTTAAGGAGCACGAACAGGTGTGTGTTCGTTATCTGTGGTTACCCTTGAGCGCCGTGCCACACTGGAGCTTTGTACTTCCGGTTCCTACCTAGTGGCAGCCTCCCGATGACTCAGCCTCTCCTTCCTCCCCCTCCTCCGCCCTGTCTGTGGGAACCACCATCACGCTGTCAGCTTGTGTTGCAGGACTCCACCTGGGAGAGAGAGTGCCCTGCTTGTCACAGCGCAAGGCTGGGAATGTGCAACTTTCAGCATGCTCCGATGCTTGCCTGTGTGTGTCTCTGCGTATGTGCTGATAAGCGATTCTAGAAATACCGTATAAATGCTCCGTATAAACTTAACAACTTAAGTGTGTCACCTGCTTTATCTCATTTGGAACATACTTAACCAGTAAAGAAGTAAAAAAACGTAAGATATATTTTGTTTTTTATATCTGGATGCATGATAATGAATATTTAGGCAGTCTTTTTAACAAGCCTGCTTGAAGCAAGAATTTGGTATCATTTTTTTCCCTAACAATTAGTTGGATGACTTCCCTCTCTAAACTCCCACCCAGTCTTTCTCCAAAAGGCCTGTTAGACTCAAACAGTATTTAGATGGAAAATTCCCATCTTATTGCATGTTTGAAGTGCCTAATTAAATTATCTGGCAGTTAATTAGCCAGCCAGATTGAATAGGAACAGAAAAATTACTGAGAATATTCCTAGAAATACTGCCATGGAGATGCAGGCTAATCTGTAAACAGAGGTGATTAGGGAAAAGAAGGGGGGCACTGAGGGACCCAATTGGCTTTTTCTAGTAAGAGATGACCGTTTTGAGAGGTTTTTATGTATTTTTTTTTTCTCTTGTGGTAGTAGGTTAGAGAGTCAGTCAGCTTGGGAAAGGTCTTACATTCCCAGAGTTTATTTTGAAGCTTTTTTCTATTTCATTTCCTACCTGCATCATTTCTGCCCTTTTCCATTTTAGCTTATTCATTGTTTGCCTTAGTATGTATTTACTTCTTCGATGCCTAAAAATATATATCAAAATGTAATTTTTGGATATTTGACAGGTTTGATAAAGACACGGTACTCCTACACAGCAAATTACATGACTGCAAAGTAGATGAACTTTTTCAGGCTGCTAAATCTAGTAAGCTAGAAATGTTACTTACGAAATATTGACCCTAGGCATTATCCTTCCAGACAGCTGGCCAAACATTTTACATCTCCTTTAGAGATGTAAATAATTGCAAAAGGTTTTCATTGTAGGGTAACCAGAATACAGGCATTACGGAATATACAATTGATATGGAAAAACCAAAGAGAACAGCTTTATGTATTTTCTCTTAAAGCCAGCTAGCTGTTGACTAAACATTTTAAAGGTTGTGTCAAATTGTTTACAATAACTGCAAGTCATTATTATTCATAGGCATGTGTCTGTTTTTTAATATTTGGGCCTTAGCAAAAGACTTAAAATCATCACGCATGAGTGAAGACGTGTTTTTCATAAGATTGTTTCTTTTGACAGTGATGCCAATTTGCAAAATAAAGAACGAACGGCGTGTAAAGGAAAGATCGCCATTTCAGGTATGGCACGTGTGGACGGACCGTGTTACGTTGCTGAAAAAAAACAACAAACCTGACGAGGTGACCAGCGTTGATTGGTCTTGTTTCCTTCTGTGTTCCCCTTCTCTTCCTCTGATTTTTCGTGCCTCAGTCAGTGTTTGTTCTGAGCGGTGCAGGGTCCTTGTGCTCCGTGGGTTGGAGGGCACTGCCCGGCGCAGCGCCTGCATCGCACGGTGCCCTGCTGAAGCCTGTAGAGTCAGTTCCTACAGACTCAGGGATTGAGTGGTTTGGATGCCCATGATCCATGATGCAACTGGGCTGGAACTCCTCCTCTCTTTACTCTTGGTTTTGTTTTTTTTTTTTTTTTTCCCTGCTCAGAATTTTTAAATAGCGTTTTGAATGTTTAGCTAGGCCCAAAGTTCCATGGGAATTGGAACCATGTTTATTGTGTTCAACGCTGTGCACCCAGAAGCTTGCCCAGAGCATGTAGTGATTGCTTCTTGGTTATTTTAGTGGTTGGATCTCTGTTCTTTGTTGCCTGTGGGGGGTCAAGACCAAGCTCTTGACCCTTTCTGGGCTCTGCCCCCTGAGTTTTACTTTCCAACTCTGTTTTTCTGGCCATCTCTTCCATCGCTACTACCCGTAAGCCATTTGCTTTATGTAGGCATTTCTCTCCATGTCTCGTCAATGTACCTCATGCTTCCTGACACCCGGTTAACTCATAAAATAACTATGTTTTCTTTAAGATCGGTTTGCTCATCTGTGAAACCTTTCCGGTTATATTACAGCTTAGAGATGACGTTTCCTAAGAGTTAGGAGGCCTTTCACCACTAGATGGCGCTTATGCCGTGTGGTCTCAGTTTCTCCAAAGTAAGGCTGCTAAGACAATGGCTCGGAGGTGCCACAGATTGCGGTGAATACATGGCTGACTCATGTGCTCAACATTTAGATAGTGCACTTTTGCAAATATTATCTCATCGGTTCCTTTCGGAAACAACGATGTACACCTCCCTCAGTGCTTGAGTGAGGTCTAGTTTATTTCATTGGCCAGAAACCTTCATTTAGGGAGCCTGCTGCTACACTTCAGGCCCTCTCATCACCAGCGAGCTGTTTTCAGTAACGTCTTTTATGGGCCAAGAAAGATTAGCCTGCAAGGACAGTGCTAGGTTTTACATAGGACATCATTTGTCTTAAATCGGAGAAGCTGCCCTCAGCCAAAGCCGAAAACTCTTTAGAAAAATAATAGAACCTTGTAGAATGATGTTGCTTGTTTTGTTTTTATTTATAATTTATTTTTTAATCTTCCCAATTATAAGACTGACATAAAACCTCCTGGTGTGCCTTTGCTGAAAAACAGCACTTTTACATAGCAGTTGCTTACATCTTAGTGTAAATAAAATATTAAAAAATCTTTAAAGGGAGTTTTCTAAGAATAACTTAGTTCTCCATTTCTTCCTTCTAAAATGGTGCCACTTGGTAAACAAATGAGCTATGTTAAATTGCTGTCAAAGACTCAGATGTTCAATTGGAGTCAACATCTATTGTCACTTCGTAATGGTTTATATGCCATAGCAGCTTATGCTATTAGAATAAACTGTGCATTTATAAGGAGGCTTGAGTAAAAGCACTTAAAAGAAAAACAAAATTCTGACCACAAATTTTTACATGTAAAGCTTGAGCTTGTTTCTGCTTGTATTCTTCCCTTCCAAAAGATAATTTTAAATTGAATTAAGCAAATGAAACTCTCAGAAGATGAGATACATATGTAATTTCTTTTCATCTTTGCCTAGATTTAATTATATCTTGTCAGTGTATTTGCTAAAACAAAGAGAATAAAGCAAATTCACTTTGATAAATCCATTTTCATACTACACTGGAATGAAAATATGACTTTAGTTTGGCCAAAATGAATATTTGCAACAAAGTTTCAAAATGTTTCCAAGTTTGCATTGAGGGCCTGAAGATAGGTAAATTTTCATGTCCAGTTTTATCACTTAATTACCAAATCTTTTTTTTTTTTTTTTTTTAGATAAGAGTAGCAGATTTGTCCTAGTTATTTCTGCTGAACACTAAATAGTTACATCATGGTAACTGTCTCAGCTTTTTTGCTGACTACTAATTCCCTAATTGAAACAAAGCAGTTCATTTAGTGCCTGCTTTAATTTTTGAAAATGATAAATGTTGAGTACCTGATAGGAGGTCAGGTTGGGCATCTTAGTATACCTTTAAATTATCAACGAAGACCTTGGGAAAAAGACAAAAGATGAGCCTGGCACAAGCAAACTGAACCAACCTTTTGCAGGAATATGGAAGACGCTTCTGCCACCTGAAGCAGCAAGCAGGTAGTTGATGGGTTACCCATGTTTTGCTGTCTGCAAAGTACACGTCCACCTGGGAAATGGCGAGTTACCACCTTCTTGCTCCTGGTGAATTGACCAAGTCAGGCATGGGGAAGGAAAGACTCCTACACAGGCCAAGTTTCTAGCAAAGAAAGTCAGGGTCAGGGTTCCTCCCGTGCCAGGGTAAACAGTTAATGCCACCCTTCTAGAACGGGAACAGCTGGGGACTATAGTGAGTCAGCAGCTGTGGTCAAGCAAGAAGTGGCCTCTCAGGCGGGGTGTCAACCATGTCATAAAACAAGGCAGGCATAGCCATTAGAGAGCAAAAATAATGTTGATTGTGTCAATATAATTTAACATTTTAGAAATGTTAGCTAAAGTAGGAATTAAGAATAAAAGCTGATTGAAATAGACGAATTGAATACTGTTTGAAGATAATGGGTTACAGACATGTAAAACCTAAGGGTATTTACTGGAACAGTATTTGAATTAATCAAGATTTTAGTAAAAGTGGCTGAATTTAAGATAAATATACAAAATGTAGTCATTTGTTCAAAACCAGCAATGACAAGCTAGAAAATATAATAGCAAAGGAGGAACCTTATACAAGAACAAAACAAAAGAGATCTTTATTGGAAAAAAAGCCATTAAATATCTAAGAGTGACTTTAATAAGAACATAAGGGTAAATACAGTAAATATATTTTGCTAGTCTCCATAAAGACATAAGTTTTAAGTCCCAAATAAACTTAAGTAATACAATAATAAGAATCTGGGAAGTGGGAGAATGGATTTTAAATTTTAATTTAAAGAAATTTCAAGGTTAAAGTGAGATGCTTTTAAGAGCAAATATTTCTACCAAATAGTAAAGTATATATGGTAGTTACAATGTTGGTGTTAAAATAGACATTAGTTGATAAATTATTTGCTTACATCCATGAAGTGTATGGCCAGAATGATATATATGACAAAGGTGGCCTCACAAACCAATAAAAACAGGGCATGTACGTGACACTATGACAGTTGTTTTTAGAATGTGTCTCTTCTTCACATGCTATACCGTCTCACCTGAAAAACTACTGGGGGTGGGGAGGAAGAGCTTGCTTTTTTTTTTTTTAATTTCTTTTAAAAAAATCATTTATGTAAAATCAACAGATTTCACATATATGTCAACCACTACCTGGGTGCAGTCACCATCCACCAGTGTCAGTTCAAGTCTGGCTGCTCCGCTCCGGACCCAGCTTCCTGCTGGTATGCTTGAGAAAGCGAGGGAGCAAGGCCCTGGGGCTTGGGCCCCCGCCACCTGCTTGGCAGGCCTGGATGGATTTCCTGGCTCCTGCCTTCGACCCAGCACAGCCCTGAACCAGCAGCTAGATCTCTGTCTCTCCCTCTGTGTAATTCCACCCTTCAGATAACTAAATAAATATTAAAAAATTATTTTTAAAGTGCAGACAATAAACCACTAGAAAATATACTGGTAAATAATTTTTTTGACTTTTGATAGTCATTGTTTAATATAGAATGCTGATGTTCATGTCACTAGGACCATTAGAAATTGTCAAAATTATTATTACTTGTTAGTTTTCCATCCTTTATAGATATTCGAATACCACTAATGTGGAAAGACTCTGATCACTTCAGCAATAAAGAAGGTATGTATGATTTTAATTTGTAGTTGAAATGTTTCCTTTAGTGTGTAGTAAATTTGAGAAAAGAGATTGCTTCCACAGCGGAATAAATGAATCATTTGACAGGATTACTGAACTGTTGTAGTTTGATTGTTTTTTGTGTCTAGATAGGTTGCTCTCCCTTTGTTGAATGGAGATAGTGCCTATCTAATTATGTGTAGTTATTGATAGGATGCTTTGCAAAGCCAGAACGGAGCAGGTTCAGGGTGGGGAGGAGGTGGGGAGGAAAGAACAGAACAAAAGAACGTGTTTATGTGGGAAGATAAAGGCAGCATTGTTTTCCTTTGACCCATATCTGGGATGCCTTGTTTTGTTACTTCAGGTTTTTTTTTTTTTTTAAACAGGAAACATTTTTAGCTTGATCTGATTTTTTTTTCTGCAGCATTTTATGGTCTTATGTAGTCTTCAGAAATCCATGTATTGCTTAGCTCATGAAAATTAACCTCAAATGATTTCTAGCTGTTACAGGAAAAGCAGAAAAGATAGGATAATCCTGTATCCTCCTTGTCTATTATGATAGCTTTGTTCCTCATGCTTTAAAAACGGAATCATATTGAGCATAATGAGTTTTATATGAAGAATTTAAAATCAGGTTAGTGTTTGTTATTCAATTAGGAAATATGATTTACTTTTCAAAGGAATGCATATGGGAATTAAGTAAATCTTTCTGATTACTAGAGAGAATAAGTTTTTCTGAAGAGCTACATTTTCTCAATAATGAAGATTTATCCCTTTAATCACCTAATACTTTTTAAAACATCACCAAATTAAAAGCCCCAGCAGCTATGTTTCTTTGTGTTCCCATGTCTACTCTCTATTGTTTTTTTTTTTTTTTTTGTGGTTTCCTCCCTTGCTTTTAGTTTGGTGCAAAATGTTTTGCTGTTGTTAATGTGTGTACGCTTAACCTCTTCTAACACAAAACATCTTTTTTTTCTTAAATAGACTTAGACATCAAAATGACAGAGGTAGTAGTATATAAATGACAATAAATTTGCTGTTCATTAAACCTTCAAGTTTTTCTAGGAATAAAATTTATGAATCTGCTAGTATCTGGGTTGCTGAGAGGCCTGTGCATTTAAATCTTTTTTTTTTTTTTTTTTGGCATTGTGTGGTTTATTTGTTATGTTCTGCTTGGCCACGGCATTACTGTATGCTTACAGAACAGGCCACTATAAAACATTAAAGGTTCAACATACAATATACAGAACAGGTACTCTAAACAGGTAAGGGTTGCATTATACAATGTATGGAAATATTACCTATCAACAGTTTCTTAAGCCAATAATTCTCATTTTTCAAGTTGGTGTGAACGGAGTGCAGGCATGGTTTTATCACATGAATTCCTCCTCACAGTGCTGCTTTTCTTCTCCAGGATCACAACGATATGCCATTTTTTGTTTGTTTAAAATGGGAGCTGAAGTTTTTGATACTGACATGGTGATTGTGGATAAAACAATTACAGATATATGTTTTGAAAATGTAACAATTTTGTAAGTAATTTTTTTTTATTCAGAGAATGAAAATAATCTAAAAAACCCTGCCTTCATTTTTAATATAATTTAATCATTAAGTCTTTTGATCCTTTTTGAAGTATTAAGATCCTTAACTGTTTCAAATAATTTTGAAAATTACTTTGCTTAAAAAAAAAAGCTCATTTCTGCATTGACAATAATCTGATGTAAAATAAAATAGAAATATTATAATGAATAATAGCAGTAAATATAACTCATGGGATATGGAAAGTTTGTATATTTTGCACAAATGTTTATAGTTCTATTATTAACTAAGCTTTACATGCAGTCGAATGTTATTTAGCATGATTTGGCGCAGAGTGCATTTGGGGACTCAGTTACAGAAGTCCTAAAATGTTGTAACAACTTTGTGTGTAAGGTAGTCCTGAGTGGCGCCATAGGAGAAGCAATGTGCTAAGATTCCAGGCTGTGCTTTTTCTTATGGTGTACTTCCTTCATGTACTTCAAAACAATAAAAAAAAATGGGTGATTCTCAGGGCTGCTTTTATTGCGCCTGCTCTTTTACAAGCTCAATTTATAGTGGTCATAATACAGAACCAGAGAGAACTCCTCAGGCAGTCACAGGAATCATTTTTAACTAACATAAGTTTTACCTGGCCTCTTTCAAAGGTTCTGTTGATTTAAATCAGTGTGAGGTCTGGATTTCTCTCAGGCTTTCCAAGATGCCATCTTCATATGTAAATGTTAGCAGCTAGTGAACTATTAGGATAATACCAAGGTCCATGTTTTTCTGTGCCATTTTTAGCTATTAACCTATAAGTTGAAATTTCAGAGGGCTAGTTTTACCACTCACATCATTAAAAAAAAAAAAAAAGGCGAACTGTATTTTTGTGGCTTCTAGTCCAGTGTCCCATAGTAATTGTACAGTGCGGAAAAGTAAAGTGCATTCTTCAGAGTTATTAGCAATCATGTGGGCCTTCTTGCAAGCTGTAATGAAACACAGGAATTTGTTTAAGGCCCCCATGATCTCCCTGGATGTTTGCGTGTTGAGCTCAAGGCTTTTTCCCCCCTGAATACATTTATTTCCATTGTCAGCTATTGCTAGTAAAATTTTTCTCTTTTATGCTTAAATTATCTCTTTAATGGGCTCCTTGCTTCAAATAACTCTCATCAGTATTATTTGTTTTTATCCACAAAGACAGAAAAATCAGCCTTTCCTCTTTCCTTCCCCCACCCCCCGCCAAGAAAAGAACAATATAAGTTACTTGAGAAGGCAGCACATGATTTTTAATTTTCATTTACATTTTGTAAATTTTTTAAATTTGTTCTAAAAATAACTGCTGACAAATGTTCTCAATGTTTAAGACTGTGCTTTTTGTTATGGTGATTGTTTTTAATAAGTGTTCAATATTTATGAATCTCTGATTTTGCTCTAAATATTGACATTTGTTAGTCATTGCCAAGGATATTGTGTGTTTAAAAGTTGCCAAATAATAAACTATAAAAATATCTGGAAGTTATTCCTTGGATGTCCAAACTATAGATTGACCAGTTGAGTCTTCCCCGTTTTCTGCTACACTTAAGAAACCTCTGAGCCTGAAAGATCTCCCCGCAGGCACACGCGCACTCTCTGAGATGTATTTTGTTGTTAGAAACACCACCACAATCCTTGATGCTTCAGGTACTTTACTGAGTCTGAAAAAAGAATATAGCCCTCTTAGCATTTGCTGTAATAGCAAAATCCTGTGTACTAGTTTAGTAAATAATGTACCGAGTGCCTTCCACATTCTAGGCACAGTGCTACATTGAGAATAGTCCAGGGATCACCAGGATAGCAGCCCTCTTCTAGCGGTTCATGCTCAGAAGTAGGTCCTTTAATATTCTTCTTGTAGTTCATTTGGTATTGGAGAATACAGTGCAAGTGAATATTCACGTAATATGCCCATGTATTTTGGTTGAGCTTTGCTTTAATGTTACCCTAGTTCTTCAGAAGCTGACACTCTGAAAGCTGCAGCGACTCAGGACGTTTAAGTTCTGGATAATAAATAGAGAGGTTCCATGATATCCACGTGTGTCAGCACAAGCCTATTGGAAATGCTCATGGTCAATGCAATGAAACCATGAAAGGATGTCATGATTTTATGTTCTACAGGGTTACACTCTGACGTTCTGATTTCTCTGTATTTTCAGCAATGAGGCAAGGCCAGACTTTCAGATAAAGGTGCAAGTGTACAGCTGCTGTGCAGAAGACTCCTCCATCGCCAACACACCTAGGAAGCTAGCCAAGAAACTGAAGACGTCCATAAGCAGAGCTACAGGGAGGAAGATCAGCTCAGTGCTCCAAGAGGATGATCCTGAAAAGTGCTCGCTCTTCAGCTCTGCTGTCTCGTAAGTTTCCCAATGTCACGTTCATGGTGACTTAATCAGACATCTGTGGTATGACGAAGCAGTGCGTGTAGAGTATATGTTTACATTTTAAATGAAAGCTCCCTGAAGCAGAAACAACACTGGGTCATCTAACATTAACCCAGCTGAGATGTCCTGGATATCTTTCTTTGAAGATAGAAAGCATGGTGGCAGTGTTTTTAGTAATTTGGAAATCTGGTTTCTACCAAAAGATGAAATGTTTTTCTGGACAATGGGCTGTGGAAATGGCAAAGTACTTGCTATGTCTCGCTCTGCTAATTGGATTTCTGTATGTCTGTTATGCATTATTTTCATAGCTTTAAATAAAAACATTTAATCTTTATTTTTTTAAAAAAACACATTATCACGCCTGACAAAATAAAAAAATAATGCATTTGATATCATCTATTCTGCAAACCATATTGAGAGTTCCTCAATTCTGAAATAGTTCATTTCCAATTCATTGGTTCAAATCAGAATCTAAGCAAGCTCTACAGTATTATATTTAAGTGGGACTTTTAAGTAGCTATTGATTTATTACAGTTTTTTCTTACCATGATTTATTGAAGAACCCCAATCTTATATACTTTCCCATAGTTTGAATTCAGCTGACTGCATCTTTGTCATGTTGTAACCATCCTTTCCTGGCCCGTGTCTCCCATAGCCTGGTGCTTGGATCTAGAAAACTGGTTCGATACAGGTTCTCTCTTAGGACAATCGCACCTGCCATTGTTGAATTTCTTTCTTGCTATTTCCTATTTGGATGCCTTGCCTCACTTTTAGTAAAGTTAAAATTAATGAATTCAGGGGTTACGATCCTGATTTCTCCATTATAAACTTTCCTGTCAAGCTTTTATCTTTTTTAATAGCTGTTGTTGATCATTTTTTTCTTTCATTAGGAGTTATAACTTGGTGACTTTCTAAATTTGTCCTGTGTGTTTCTTATGAACTAGAATTCTTGAAAAGAACTTATCCTCACTAATCCTCTGGATACAACCAAGATATGTTTGTGTTTCAGTCTGTCAGTTCCTCCCTGTGATGCCCAAATTGTCCAGTCTGTGGTCAGGGGTTAGCTTTAATCTAACGTGCACTTTTTGTTTGGCCCAATCTGCGCTTTGGTAATGTCTTTGCTGCTTCACACAGTACATTGTTCTCTGCTCATCTTGTATTTGTTTTTCTGCCCCGATTAGAATGACCGTTTCTCTAGGAAGCCCTGGTTTCTCCCAGGTGCTTTGTCCAAACGTTTTGTTTGTTTCTTCACAAATAGTTTATATGTATGTTTCTTCAGAAGACCTTTGATCAGACTGCTTTCCTAGAATGTCTGTCCATTTCAGGAGTGCTAGCTGTTCAGCATGTCATTACTATAATTATAAAAAGGGAAATATTTGAGATAGAGATCCAGGAAGTGTCAGTCATGAGAATGCCATTAACTTTCCACGTCAGATCCATGATTTGTGAAATACATGTTGACACTCTAGCGCAGCGGCTTTCCGTCTTGTTTTGATTGAGACTCATGCTAGGAATTATGCTTGACACCATGGTGAGTACACGGCGACGTGAGCAGATAGCTTTCATCGGGCAACACTTAACCCTTGCTATCTGTGGCATAATTAGTTTTTGCTTTCCATTCTTTAAAGCGATTGTTTGGAAATCATTTAATTGATTTTATGGCTTATGAATAGATCTCAATCTACAGTCTAAAAGATAGCCATGAAAGATACAACTTCCCAAAATATTAGTGAATGTCCTTTAAAAGGAAGTAAGGAACCTTTCATTTTTCCTCCATTAGATATGAGACCATGTGAAAAACCACTGTACATTCAGGGTATGGGAAAGATATACTGAAAAGTTGTTTCATTAAACCAAAAGGTAGTGTGGCCTTTTGTTTTTAGTATTTAAGTAAACTATTCTATTTCCAGGTTGAAACATAACTCTATGACTCACTCTTTTGCTGTAGTTGGAATTTGAAAATAATACTAGGACACGTACATAAGAGTATCAATTTCATCTTTAATAATGAGAAGGTTTTGCATAGCATTGAGTTTTCAGTCAAAATAGGCATATATAAAACAATACACATGTTCTCCAGTAATAAGACCTTTTTGACAACAGTGCATTTTTTTCAGACTAACTCTTTAACTAGTTATTTTTTTTGCAAGACTTATTTATTTTTATTGAATAGGCAGATATACAGAGAGGAGGAGAAACAGAGAGGAAGATCTTCCATCCAATGGTTTATTCCCCAAGTGGCCACAATGGCTGGAGCTGAGCCAATCTGAAGCCAGAAGCCAGCTTCCTCTAGGTCTCCCACGCAGGTGCAGGGTCCCAAGGCATTGGGCCATCCTCGACTGCTTTCCCAGGCCACAAGCAAGGAGCTGGATGGGAAGCAGGGCCACTTGGGTTAGAACCAGCAACCATATGGGATGTCGGCACGTGCAAGGCGAGGACTTTAACCACTACATTATTGGGCCGGGCCCTAACTAGTCATTTATTTTCATAAATTTTTACCACCAATACCTCCAAAATGTTGTAACAATCAGCCTATTTGATAGAGGAATGTAGCTGATTAAACGTTGGGGAACTCGATATTAAGATTGGCTAAAAGGAATGAGTGTAATGTTTTAGAAAGAAAATGTTACCCTGTCAAGAATGTTTTACAAGTGAGGTCATTGTTGCTTTTGGAAGCATTGGCATTGTAATTAGTCATGGTTTAAAAATGAAGTAACTTGAAATATCATAAAGCATTGTTGGATCTGAAAGAAGACAGTGAACATTTTTGGTAATATGTAGAGCACTTTTTGATGTGATTCATTTTATTTGTGGCAGTCAGCCTACTGAAATTCCTTTGGCTGGAATTTGCCTGTGCCTCTAAGCTGATTTTATGCTCCTTGATAACTGTTTAGTATATTATTCTTTGTTGTGTAAATATACATGATTTTAAACAACCACTCATAAAAACTGGCAAAATTGAGAGTGATTATATACTAAAAAAAAGGGATGTGTTTAAAAAAAATACCATACTACATTTTATATTGGATTGCAATTATAAATCATGTGTCCTAACACTTACTCAGAGTAGATTATTTTTTTTTTAAGATTTGTTTTTCATTTTATATTGGAAAGTCAGATATACAAAGAGAAAGAGAGAGAGAGAGGAAGATTTTCCATCTGTTGATTCACTCCTTAAGTGGCTGCAATGGCCAGAGCTATGCCAATCCAAAACCAGGAGCCCAGAGCCTTTTCTGGGTCTCCCATGCAGGTGCAGGGTCCCAAGGCTTTGGGCCATCCTCAACTGTTTTTCCAGGCCACAAGCAGGGAGCTGGATGGGAAGCGGGGCCACTTGGATTAGAACCGGTGCCCATATGGGATCCAGGCACATGAAGGCGAGGACTTTAGCAGCAAGGCTATCGTGCCTGGCCATGATTATTTATGTTTTTAAGAGCAGTGCTGTGAAAGTTAGGAGGTCTGGTGCCCGTATGTCCAACCCTGTGTTGCACCGTGCTTCCTGTTTGCTTACTGTGTACCAACCACACCATTGTCTTCTATCCTTCCTTTGTATGTACTGCCACTCTGCCTGGAATGTGTGCCCGTGTTCTTGGCCTGACTGCGTTGCTGTATGACTACACACCTGTTACTCCTTAGAGAATTTCTCCAGTTTATCTATCCCGTTTTTCTTACTTCCTTTGATTTTTTTCTTAAAAGTTGTATTATAACTTGTAAACAACAATACTTGTGTTATTCTTCTTATTTTTTTCCCCTCTTGACTGCATCTGAATTTTGTGTTGAATCTTGTTTACTATTGAGTAAAACAAAGATCTGAACTTTGAATAGGAACCTGACCTTTAGCAGGTTACCAGAAGCTGGGGTCCAGGCCTGGAATTAAATGTAGAGTGGAGCATGATCAGCTTTACTGATAGGCTAAATACTTCCTCCCCTTTACTCAATTTTTATTGGTTTGCTGCTTCAATTTATATGCATCTAAAATGTGTCCAAACTCTTTGCCTAACTTTTAAATGTTGTTGAGCCCCTAAGTATTTTATGTAATAGAAAACATGAAAATACTCAAAACTTGTCTTCTCCCTAGTGGCACAAAGTATAATTTGCTAGCCCATACTACTCTAACATTGGAAAGCGCAGAGCACAGCTTCAAGACTCATAATCTGTCTATTAATGGCAACGGTAAGTACATTATCTCTTGTACTAATTATATGTGTTATGTCTGTACATATAATACAATAGAATTTCTAATGGACTGTAGTCTCCCGCAGGGTATATTGGCTTTAATAATACAGAAATGAAATGATTTTGGAGGTTCTTCCGATTGTCTGTTCCCTTTCCTTAAAACAGAGAACTTCACTTGGCGTTCTCTCTGCTTTGTTGTGTGTGTGAAGTTAGCTGACTGAGAGCAGGAAGGTTTCCAGGATGCTGACTCCTTATCTTTGACTTGAAATTGATGACTTCCCCACTCTTGTAACTGGAAATCAAAGGCTTGTCTTCTTTTTAAATTTGAAATCTAGGACGTGGGGCCTACTGTTGGTAGAAACAGAGGTAAATTAATCTTAACCCTTTCCTACCTGGATGGTATTGATGTGTGGGGCAAACCAAGAAAGCAAGGATGAGGAAGGTTTGCAAAAGGTAGCCTCGGGACTCTCCACTCGCCAGTTTATTTTAGACGTGATGAAAAGTTTAAAGCACTAAGGATAAAACAGTTTGAAACAACGATTTGGATGATTGGCTTTGTCCCATTTCCTGAGGCAAAATATTAGTTATATAATACATGAATTATGCCAATATTTAAGTTTCACCATAGAATTATGCCAATGATAGAAGTTCATAAGATCTAAATACACAGTTTAACAAAAAATAATGAAATGTATAATCACCTCCTTGTCAAGATCTAGCACGTTACCAACACTACTTTCTTTCATTTATCCTACGTTGTAAATGTTTCTCAATTGCTTGGTGCTGGTTTCATTGCTTTTCTTTATGACTTTCTACCTTTATACTTCCCTAAATAATGTAATTTTGTTTTGCCTGGTTTAAACTTACGTGGATGGAATCATAGCATGTCTTCTTAAGAATGTGTTCTTTATTCATTTATTAATATGTGTACATTCCACTGCTTATATTATTTTGGTTATAACCAAAACCCAGATACAATAACTGTACAATTCAGTAACAATAACAATACAATAACTGTGCTTTGGCTTGTTATACTGATTCAACTATTGTTTTAACAGTTTTAGAGTTCTTCAGTTTTTCTGTTCCTGAGTCAGTTTCAGCTATAGGTTCACAGACGTATATCCATTTGATCTGAAATTTGAAGTAAGCAAGCATTAGATTCTCTGAAGTGGCTCATCTCTATTGATTTTCTGTGGCATTGCTCCCACCTTTCCATTACTGGTACTGGCCCTTGGTGTCTTCTGGTCTTCTTTCTGCGGTGACTAACATTGACTAGTATGTTCTGTATGTCGCTAATACTCTACATATTCCATATTAGTGTAAGAGTTTAATAAAATTCTCTGCTATGATTGTGGATTGTTCTAGTTCTCATAGTTATGTCTGCATTTCCTGTACATGATTGGAGCCTTTGTTATTGAAGCATATAGTTTTTTAAATTATGCGTTCCTTTCTACCTTTACCTCAAATTGTCCTTTTTTTTATGTTAGAGGCATTCTTTTTCAAACAGCATTATATTGGGTAATAATTTTTATCTAATTTTGGCTCCTAAGTATTTTTTTTTTACTTCACTTTATATTCCTTATGTATATAATATCAAATAATTGTGCATTTTGGTTTAAATTTACTGTGATACCTATTTTTTCTGTCTTTCTACCTATTCCATGATTGGTGGTTAATTTGTTTTAATTTTTCACTATCCTAATTTGACTTTCACATTTTTGGGATTCGTGTTGTGGCATAAGTGCGTTAAGCTGACACCTGCAAAGACAGTATTCCTGATGGGTACCCCTTTCCTGGCCCAGCTGCACCACTTCTGATCTAGCTCCTTGCTGATGTGCCTTGAAAAGCAGGTGTGGATGGCACAAGTGCTTGGGCCCCTGCATCCACAAGGGAAACCCAAAAGAGTCTTTGAATGCGCAGTCCAAGCCATTGATAGTATTTGGGAAGTTACCAGAGAAGACATCCCTTTGTCTGTCTGTCTGTTGTCTCTCTCTCTCTCTCCCTCTCTTCCTTTCTCCCTCTCCCTCTCTGTTTTCACTTTCAAATAAATAAAAATCTTTTTTTTAAAAAAAACTGCATGTTCTTTTTCTCGTCTTTTGGGAATTATCTCTAAACATTTCATTAGTCATACCCACCAAAATCTACAATTAAATGATGGTTTAATCTTTTCTCAAAGGACTCAAGGCCGCCAGGACAGTAATTCTCCATGTCCCTGACCTATGTGCTGTCATTCTCAGTGTTTTCTAATTCCACAAGATAAGTGCATCTTTAGAAGTTTCTGTGCAATTCTTGCACCTTACAATTTATATCAAATGATTTTCTTCTAGCTAGGAATATAAAACCCCTAGAATTTCTGTTAGTATATTTTACTGGTGTCAAATTTCTTGGTTCTTTTTGTTTGTCAAGAGGTAAGTTTGCTTTGCTTTATTTTTCAAAGGTATTTTAAAAATAGGATTCAGGTTTTTTTTTTTTCATTTTTGAATATTAAATCCCAGTGTCCTTTGGCTTCTATTTTGGATGGTTGAGAATTCTTTGTCAGTGTGTCACCTGTGTGAAAGTCATCTGTTTATTTTCTTTTTGTCTGTGATATGTTTGTTTCACTATAACATAATAGGAATAGAATTTATTTATAGTGCTTGGGACTCTGAGCTTTTTGGAATTGTTGTTGATGTGTTTCAGGAAGGACAGAATCTTTTCAGAAACCGTCCTCCCCGTGTTCTTGTTGCTTCCAGCATGTGTAGTGCTCCTGTGTTCGTTTTTCCCCTCTGTGCTCTAACACTTATGATGTACTTTCTGTCCTTTATTCCGTCTTTGGTACTTTTCTGTGTGTTATCACCTGTTTTCCGTTTTCTCCATTCTCTCTCCAAGTCTGCCTGATATGCTGCTAAACCTGCCTGTCGGCGTTCTTCGTGTCAGTTACTGTGTTTCTTATTCTATGTGGTTCTATTTCATGTGTTTTTTCACTTTGTATAGCGCTTTTTATTAGATGCATATGCTGTTGATATTATTTATTTTTTTGCAAGAGTAAACAAAATTGTTTTTAGTCTGAATCTAATAATTCAGGTATCTGAAATTACTAGTTCTTAAACTAGGCCTCACTCATAATGTCTTGGTTTCTTGCATTTCTAGTTGTTTTTTCTGTCCCTGTTAGTGGAGGGATATGTTGACGTGCGGTATCTCTGTTTGCTCCTGGCAGGGACCTGGAAGTCTGGCAGTCCAGGCCTGTTGCTCGGGCCCCTTCGCCACCTACCCTCAGGCGGGGACAATCCAGTGACAGCGTTGATTTACTTAATCACCCGTTCACTGTGCTATGGCTGGCCCCTTCAGGATGTTAGATTAATAGGAAGGCTGTCCAGTTAAACCACTCTCTTTGTGTGGTTTACTTTCCTGGGTTTCAGATTCTCTCCTGCTTCCCTCTTCTTGAAGGTTTAACAAATATAAACTCAGGCTTGTTGATGTTTGTAAATACTCTGGGTACAAACACAGCTCCTGTGCTCACTTAACCTGCTGGTGCTTGTTTCTCTTCAGGTTCGTCCTGAGAATTTGGGGTGTTTTTTTTTTTTTTTAAAGAAATTTTTTTGTTGGAAACAAAGATTAACAGAGAGAAGGAGAGATAGAAAGAACTTCCATCCACTGGTTCACTCCCCAAATGGTCACAATGGCTGGAGCTGAACTAACGTAAAGCCAGGAACCAGGAGCTTCTTTTAAGTCTCCCAGACAGGTGCAGGGTCCTCAGGCCTTGAGCCATCCCCCACTACTTTCCCTAGTCACAAGCAGGGAGCTGAATGGGAAATGGAGCAGCCTGGACATGAACCAGTACCCGTGTGGGATGACACTTCTTGAAGGTGGAGGATTGGTCTGTAAAGCCACTGTGCCAGCTCCTGCCCTGGTAGTTTCTTTTTAGAGGTGTTAACTTCTGTTTTTTTGGTGAAAATTTTTTACACTATATCTTATTCATGGTGTTTTATAATTTTTCAGTCAGAGGATTACAATGAACAGTCTAGCCTGCGATCACCCAAATCCTGAAGTCTTCAACAGTATTTGCATTATCAGTTTTATCAAGAAACCTGGTAACGTTTGTTGCTATTCCCTTTGTGTGCGTTCTCTGGAATTACTAATGATCTCCACTCTTTGTGCTTGTCTGAGATGTGTCAGGAACTGTCCTAAACACCCTTAAAGTAGTTTTTACTACTAATCTCTATGAGATGTACTCGTAAGGAAGGAATAGGATCAGGTGATCACCAGTGGAGACTCTGGAGTCATCAGTCTTGTGTTCAGACTGTAGCCCTAACACCGGCAGGCTCTGTGATACTTACAAGTTCCTCATCTCATTATGCTTCATATTTTATGGATGGTAAGTAACCTGCCAGATCAAGTAGCTAGCAGGTGGCCTAGCGAGACTTCAAACAATGCAGACAGACTGTAGTCTGTGTGCCGTACTTCCACTGTCAAGCATGATCACCGTTATAATACCCAAAGCCAAAAATTACACTGTGTGAAGAGAATAGGCTTGAGGATCGGCCACTCTGTTTTTTGACCACTCAGGTGAGAAATAGTAGGAAGCAATGCGATTGCCTGAGGAAGTGTCAGTGTTGCCACAGATGCCTCAGTCATCCTCAGGGTCCCATGAGATATTGCTGGTCTCTCCTTCAGCTCAATACTCTGAGAGTACAGCTCTCTCTCTGTGAGAGAGACAGTATGTAGGTATCAACATCGGGAAAGGACCTGTGTTTAGGGCAGTAACATCCTAAAACTTGGCATTGGAACATGTAGATTCCACGGAACAAATTTAAGCAACAGGAAAATATTTATCTCTTGTAGATAATATTATATTCCTAGAAATCTTCATACATTTAAATGTTTAAGTTTGAAAAAGAACTCTTCAGAAAATTTTGTGTAGAAAAAAAAAGTTATCCTCTAATTCAGTCATTAACATGTTAATATAATTAATGCATATGGTAGCATCATTTTTCTAAGTAAAGTTATGCCAGTATCTCCTATAAATTAAGAGGTAATACCAGATTTCTCAAAATTGTAACAATTTGGGTTTTTTTTGGTTTTTTTTGTTTGTTTGTTTGTTTTTTTGTTTTTTGCTAATTGAAGGAAAAACAAAACAGTGTCTTAGGTTTATATTTATCACCAAGACATTCTTACACTTCTTAGAAGATAGTCAAGTGACGTGAGGATTGACTTGAGCGGAACTGAGATGTTATCTGTGTTCTTCCTCTAGCCCGTGTTTTGTTTTCTGTTGTCGTTTTTCAGCTTTTTTGTTCCCCCATTTGAAACTATGGATGAGTTATATGAAATCTTTAAGTGTAATGAAAAAACAAACTACTGTTTCATTTCCTGTTTCATTTCATCTTGTCCTAACACTTCCCTTGGCTAGAAAGGAATGAAATATTTTTGATTACTGTACAAGCACTGAGAGGCAGTGGTGAGAAATGGGGGTGTTTGTTTTGGGGAGTGAGACTGCCTTGGGTAGAAGTTAGGAGAGGCTCTTTGGCCAGACATAGGGGAAGCTGTTCTAACAGTCGCTTACCTAAGAGAGATTCTGTTTTTTTAAACCTGGGTAACTGATACTCAGGTTAAATGACCAGCCTAGATGGCGTATTTCTTCTCTGGAGTATAGATAAGCTGTGACTCTGTTGTATTGCACAGTGGTCCCAGGCTGGAAAGAAACCTGGATTAGAGGCAGCTGGTGATTGTAGGGTATGTGGTAAGGAATCTGCACTCACTGTCCCTCTTCAAGGACTATAGTCACAAAGGAATTTTGTTTTTCTCTTGCATGCAATGTAATCCAAACTCTTTCACCAGAGAGGCACAATTAGATGTGATGTCTAGGTCCCAGACACACTACTGGATTGTACAATAGGTACTGTCTGAGAATCCAAACATTGTCTGATTCTGTTTCTTTAAGAAGTGCATTCCAACTTAAAAAGCAACTAACTTACAGATATTTAAAATATAAGCCATTCATCATTCTGGAATGACCTACATAAAGAAATTTGATTTCCAGCTTTACATTCATAATCCACCAATGGCATTTCTTGCATCTTTGTTTATTTGTATTTTTGCATCAGGAATCATTGGAATCATTGGATGCCTTGACTTTATGCCTTTATTTCTATCAGCTCAACCCTTTTATTTCAAAGAGATTTAACAAGGTATTTATTTTTATAGATATTAGATAGATTTTATAGATATTAGAGAGAGCTTCCATCTGTTGATTTATTTCCTAAATGCCTCCAAGAGTTGGTCTGGGCCAGGATGAAGTCAGGAGCCTTGAATTCCATGTAGGTCTCCCACGTGGATGGCTAGGGCCCAAGTGCTTGGTCCATCTTTCATTGCTTTCCCAGGCACGTTAGTTAGCAGGGAGCTGGAGCAGAGGCGGAATAGCTGGGACCATAACCACTATGCAATAATGCTAGCTTCAACGCGATATTAATTTAAGAGATGGAAATACCCCCAGGATTTGTTATGTAGTGTCGTATAGTAGAATTTGGTGCTATGGTGTTTACAACCAAACAATACCCCTTGTTTTTGTTTGTGCTCTTCATTTAGCCTGTTCTTTTTCCTTTGACTGTGACGCCAGTCCTTGGCTACAGTTTATGTTCATCATGTTCATACTAAAATGACTTTTTTTCTAAGCAAAACAGTATTCCTTCCAGAGTTACTAAAGCTTTTAAATAAGCAATTATTAGTCAGTGGGTAACCATTAGGCACTAGTAAGAGGGGTAAAGTGAAAACTGTAATATTTTTCTGATTCATGAATTTTACTATGCCCTGGTGCATATACTTTCTTTCCATGCAAATATGGAGTTAATACCTACTTACATGGAATTTATGTATATTACATTAAAGGGGTATCTCAGTGTTTTTTGCAAGAATTTTGCAAAACCATCTGTTTGTAGAAGAGTTGCAAGTTAAATGTCAAGGCCCACCCTGCCAACACCCTACTCCAAAAAAAAAATGCATGTGAACAAGTTACTTACATGGTCCTTCTTTAACCTCACATGTGTTCATGTGTGTTTTGGCTGTATCACTGCACAATCCACATTAGGAAATGACTATTAATGTGATACTACCATCTGGGCCTCAGACTCCATTCATATGTTACCCATGGTCGCGATGATGTCCTGCGGCTGAAGGACCCAAGGTTGAATCTTACTTTGCCTATCATTGTGTGTCTTAGTTTCCCTCTGTTCAGACCAGTTCCTGTGTCTGTCCTTTGACTCGGATGAGCTTCACATTGTTAATGATTATACTTGATGGTTTTGTCTACAAGTCCCTTACTTTAGACCTGTTGGATGTTCTCCCCAAGTGAGATTCAGAGTACTTGTTCCTGGCAGAGATCCCGCACAAGTGGTGCCACACCCTCAGGGTGTCCTGTCGTGTGGCGTGTAGTTTAGTTGCTCCAATCCTAGTGATGTTCACTTTGATCACTTGATTCAGATGCTATTTGCTCACACTTCTCTGCTGCACAGTCGCCCTTTCTATTCTTCGTTTTTGTAATTCTTATTTCTGGGGATTGGGAGTCAACTTTAAAACAGTGCCAGTGTGCTGTTTTTCCCTGGACGTTCAGTCTGTTCCCTGATCTGTTTACATCAGTGTGGATTCCGGCAGTCCTCTGTTACGAGGTGTATAGTCATCTATGAATATCATTGCTTGTTTTGAGGTTCAGTTTCTCCCCATCTTGGCCAATGGGAACCCATTTGAGATGACGTTTTGACATCATTCTTTGAGTGCTTGTTTGATGGGTAGCATGCCAGGACATTCCAGCTCATGGACTCTGCCGTTCTTTCCTGGAAGCCTGGATTCCGTTCCTAATCTTGGGCTCAAATACCCTGCCGAGTTGCCTCCTGTGTGGACAGCTTGCTGAGCGCTCTCCTTCCCTGGGGCTATAATACCCAGCTCTGAAGTTGCCCTACCCACACACCATCCTTGCTACAGCTGCCCAGGACAGACGCCCCAGGCTCAGCTGTGCCTCTGCCAGATGTCCTCCAGGCCCACTCTTACCTCTCCTTGTCCTGTGTGGCCTCAGCACCTGCCCACCACAGCATGATTCTCTCCCTAGCTCTGTACAGGTGTACATTTTGGGGATTACACCTGGGGCTTAAGGGTGAATTCTTCAGAAAGGTGAGGTGAACAAGAGAGATGAAAAAATTTGCTTTATAATCTGAAGTTTTCTGAAATAATGCATTATTCAGAGGATTAGCTTGCTAAGTATTATAGTGAAAATCAGGGCAAGATATGAAATATGACAGACATAAATCATTTTATTAGAATGCTTTAGTGTTAGTTCAGAAAATGTAAGTAACCTTAATTATCTCCACTGGGTAATTATTTTTAAGTTCAAGTAAGATCAAGACACTAGAAGGTCCATGTTTATTCCAGGTAATAGCATGCTATAAACTATCAGTTTAATATCATGTTGTTGTCACTGCTCTCGTGTTTGATTTTGTCATTAAATATTATACTGGAAGATATATGTACACATTTTAAAGTATATTCATGCATAAATAAAAATATTGTAAAAGGGATGCACAATGTGTGGTGACTTACATAAACATGTATTTGTAACTGATTTTTTTCTCTCCTTTCCATAGAGGAGTCCTCATTCTGGCTTCCGCTCTATGGCAACATGTGCTGCCGATTAGTCGCCCAGCCAGCGTGTATGGCCCAAGATGCCTTTACAGGATTTCTTAATCAGCAGGTTAGAGGACTGCCACTACCCTGCAACAACTGTAGTTCTGCTTTCAATCTTAACTCAGTAGCACTTGTTTGACCTCATATTGAAAAGTAGTTTTGTGAAGTCCTTTTCTAAATGTTATTTTCCTGACTATTATCTGACATAAGCTGAGGCAGAGGTTGCAGGGGTGGGAAGGATGGCAAGGGAAGGAGTCGCAGGCCATGTCTGTGCCCTGGAACCAGCTCTTGGTTAATAGCAGGAAGACGGAGATCAGCAGTGGGGAGGCTGCTTGTAGAACCGATGAGGGCTGCCCAGCACCTCTCACGTCAAGGTCCTGCTGCCAGAACTTCTCCTGGCACAGCTTAGGCCTCTGGGCTTGCAAAGCTGCCTCTGTGCCACCTACTCCTGACTTATTTATAACCCGAGTTATTTATATTCAGTAAATAATTAATTGTGGCTTCAATGAATCAATAGCTTTTTCTAAGAGATTCCATTAGGAGGAAAGAAAAATTTGCATTCTTACACTTGTCAACAGTTTCTAATGTTCTGAGAACAGTAAAGGGAAAAATTGTATTTTGAACATTTGAGTTATTTTTATAGTTTTTCTGAGTCATTTGATAAATTGCTGCAGGATTCTAAGCACTAATTTTTAACAGGCTAGCTTTTTAAAAACTGCATTGATTTATGATTGTATGCGTGTAAGAGTTATGTGGTAATCATTGCCTTCATTCTGCTTAATGCTTTTTAGAATTCCAAACTTCTGATATTAACTTCCTCTTTGATTTGGGACAGTTAGAATTATTGTACAACAAATTCATATGTAATTCTGTTGCATTTTAGAGGTTCTAAAAGTCTAGTTTAATTTTGATAACTTAAGTGTCTTGGTGAATTTAAAGTTAGGGAAATTATGATTGGAAGTTGAAATGTCTGTCTGTTTTTCAGCAAGTGGTAGAAGGTCTGGCTCGTTGGAGAAGGTTATATTGTGTTTTGAGAGGTGGAAAGCTGCGCTGCTTTTACAGTCCAGAAGAAATCGAAGCTAAAGTGGAACCAACTTTGATAGTGCCTATTAACAAGGTAAATGAGTTGCTATTTTGAAATGAAGTATGTCATTTTATAACATTTATTCCTAGTCACACAATTCATATCGTTGTCCTATCATTAAAAAAAAAAATGGGAAAGACTGCTAAAAAGAAGTAAGTATGAAAGACATTTATTTAATCTGTTAGAGCTTGCCCATTAAGGAAAAGCCTGTGTCTTTCCTAAGAAGACATTAGAATGGAAATCTATGTCAGTGAATAAAACTTAAAGCAAAGGATGTCACTACACTAACAGGATATTTAAATTTCTCATGAATATATTGATTTATAAGATTTTATACACATCAGTTGTTAGCTCATGTTACACTGATGGTCTTTCTAGTTAATATTCAAATGAACCCATAAACAGACTTTCCTGTTTATACTTTCTGGTTTCTTTTGGTGTTTATGGGCCGTTGGCCAATCTTCTGTCAGGAGAGAAAAACCTGCCTGTGGTTGGAGTGGTTGAGTATTTGTGCTGCATGAATAAAGTAATCTTACACCTCTGAGAACCTGCCGTATACCTGGGGATTTATATACTGGTTTGAATCAAAAGCGATTGTTCACGTTTAGTTACAATTTTTCATCTAAACTTCTATAAGAAATAAGGCAGATATGGCTTCTTTTATCCAACTGTCAAATTCTCTTCAACTGTTACCAAAATCAAGTGTTTATTAGAATTTTTATGGCATTCTAGAATTTGTAATTAGAAAATTAGTATTACTCTTAAATAATGTACAAATAAGGATTTAATATTATTGCAGAGTGAATTTATTTTGGTTTAGAAAATTAGGTTTATGAAATCTATCACTTTGTTAAAAACTAACATACTTTTTTCATTACTTTTATAACATTGTAAAAACTCTAAAAACTAACTTAGCTTTGTTAATTACTGTTTTAAGTATCTTCTTTTATATTCTGCTAATGCAATGTTATCCTTCTCCTTTTCTGCACCTCAAGCAGTCATTATAAAATCTTAAAAGCACGAAGGAGTTGGGAGTAGAACAGTAAATATCACATCCCCTTCTTCCAGGCTCACACATTGTTATTAACATCATGCCACATTTGCTTTCTTTTTATTCAGAACGTTCTCTTTCTAAACCATTTGAAAATCAGTTTCACACAGCAAAACATTTCTTCTCTGAATATTTCAGCATGTTTTTCTTAAAACCAATCGCATTTTTATTTATAACCATGTTGTTCATACACTCAAATTTATTGTTGCTCTAATAATATTAAGACCAGGTTGCCCTAACAATTCCCAACATGTTCTGGTTTTTATTTGTTGTTTGATCCAAGATACCATCAAGTACCAGAATGGTGCTTGGCCATTGTGAGTTTTGTTTGCTTTCACCACAATGTGCCCTTTAACCTCTGCTCTTTTTTGTTTTTTTCTTTTGGCCTTTCATTTCATTGACAGTTGTGAGAAGTTCAGACCAGTTCCCTTCTTAGACGGATCTGAAATCTGTATGAATAATTCTCATTAGCTTGAGGATAAATATGTTTAACGAGAGATCCAAATAGAAGATTTTGTCTAATGTATATTTTACTACATAGCTAGAATGGGACTATCAATTATTTTTCCTTAAATGTCACAGCATAAAATATGGATAATCATAAACAATTAAAATGCAATTCAAGCAAGTGATATTTTAAACATCATCATTTCTTTTGCTTGAAGACAATCCTGGAGATGCTCTCACTTTTTCTCTTAACCTTTAAGGTAGGCAAGACAGATGTCACAACCCTGTTTTGTAAGTATACGCTTTCTGTTCTATATGTGAAGAAATGGCTCAGCAATCAGGTATAACTTGCCAGACTAGAAAGGAAAATTGTATGGTTTCATAACTGCTCTGAGTACATTTTGAATGTAAGAAATGAAATAAAAAGCTCTTAATGACTTCCTGAATTTGAAGGCAGAGTAGACCTGTAGGTGATAGTAAATGCTGACTCTTTACCGTGGAAATTCCAGGGATTTGTCTGTTGATTTGAAAGGCAGAGCTTCAGAGAGACAGAGGGAGAAGGAGACAGACATCTTCCATCTGCTAATTCAAGCCTGAAACTGCCATCAGAATCTGACCTGAGGCAAGCCTGTGTTGGGAGCCAGGAGGTCCACCCAGATCTCCCGTGCGGGTCGCAGGAGTCCAAGTACTTGCATCATTTTCCACTGCCTTTGCAGAAGCATTTGCACGGAGCCACAGCAGAGGTGGAGCAAGCCTGTGCTCCAGTACAGCATGCCCGCATCACAAGCAGCAGCTTAGCTCAGGGAGCCACAGCACTGCCTCCAGAGGACAATCATGATCAGTTGGTTCTGTCGTGCTAGCCAGTGCATCTGTGTTGTCCTGTGCGATGACAAGAATCCTCTTTTAGGCAATTGGCGACAGTGTTTCCATGACCTGAGATGGCCTGTTTTGATTGATTTATTTTCCTGGTGGTCATAAAGGCTGGCTGGGAGGCAGCAGTTGGGTTTTGTAGGAAGTCTGTGCCATCATTCAGATGTCTCAGGCAGCACCTGTAGGTAGTCCAGCAGTGCTTCCATCACTGAGCAGTATATATGCACAGGAAAGTTTCCAATCTTGCTATTCATATAGACTTGGGAACACTGTGGGCTATGTTTGCCCTAAGGATTGATGACTTAAGTATCTCTTCTGTTACATATGACTTTTGTTTAAAGTACAAAGAAGAATTTTAAAGTTAATCAATACAATTTGGATGTTAATTTCAGAGTTGGAACTTTTGCCATCTTAATTTTCTCCACCTCTAGTTCCTCTGTCCTTTTCCTAGTAGAAATTTTTTCTTTCCTATCTCTACCTCATGTTCCCTTTGAACACTTCTCTTCTTCTGAAAACATCCGGCTTATTAGTAAATGTCACTAATCTGATTCATATATGCCAGATGGTATTGCAAAAAAAGAAATACTATTTGAATGGTAAAGTTATAGAGAGACCTTCCATTCACTCACTTACTCTTGTGCTGGCCACCGTGGCTGAAACTGGCACAGGTAGAAAATCATGAAGGAACCAGGAACTCCATCTGGGTCTCCTACCTGAGTGGAAAAACCCAGGCAAGGGGCTGTCTTCCAGCTGCTCTCCCAGGCCATTATCAGGGAGCTGGACTGGAAGTGGAGCAGCCAGGACTCAAGTGAACATTCATGTGGGTTGCTGGTATTGCTAGTGCAACTGAGCCTGCTGTGCCATGATGCCAGTCTCTGGTTTTTTTTAAAGCATTAGCATGCTGTAATTATTTCTCCAGTTATAATATTTTTGGCTGAATGTATAAAATAATTCAGAGGCATAGAAAAAATGTTATTGTGATTACTCATACCTTCTAAATCCGAGAATTAGCTTTTTGTCATTTTGCTTTACTTTGTCAGCTTGTCTAAATTTTTTTTGCTTAATCATTTCAACGTAAGACTCCAAATTATGTCATTTCATTCTCAAATAATTCAACATATTAACTCTAACAAAAGTGAAATCATATATTTTATATTTACATAATGTATATACATAATTATATTATTATCACAACTAAGAAAATTTCCCCTCTGTCATCTAACATACAATCCACTTTCAAATTTCCCCATTCTCTAAATTTTCTTTTAGTTGTGTTTTCAGTTTAAAGCTATTCAAGATGATGTATCTTCTATTGTTGCTCTGAACCCTGAAGATTTGGTAAAATCTATTTTAAATGCATTGTGCTAGTATATTTCAGGAATTATGACAGTTAGGAGGCACGTGACATTGGATTGTCAGGTTGTTGGTGTTGCATGCAAGCTCTTACCTTCAGTTAGCCATGGTCAGTGAATTGATAACCTTCCCACTGTGTGCGTATTTTTAAAGTCTATCTTTTACATAAATGTTTTAATAAACTTTGATTCTCCTCACATGCATTGAAAATGAAATTAAAGGTTCTACATGATTTTTTTTTTTCTGTTTGCTATTGTCCTTTTTTATCGTTACACTGTCTGGGGTTCATTTTTAAAGGAACAATTTCTTATTGGCTGGAGACAAATTACATAAGCCCCTCCTGAAAAAAAAATAGAACAAATGCTTAATTTCTTAATTATAAGTTTTTCAAATTAAAAAAAAAATTAAGGTTAAGAACCAGTATTCAGTACTGTATTGGTATTTGAGTTGGTGTTACCCTCTCCCTCTCTTCCCTTCCCAAACTTTCATTCATTTCATGGTAAATTCATAGGCTTTTGAAGACCTCTTCAAGGCCGGTGCCTTTCCTGTAGTGGGAAGATGTCCCTTGGGGTACCTGCATCCTGGATCCGAATGTCTGGGTTTGGGTCTCAGCTCTTCTTTCAGTTGTAGCTTCCTGCCGTTGCACAGGAAGCTGCAGTGATGGCTCAAGTAACTCGGTTCCTGCCACCTGTGTGGGAGACCCACACTGAGTTCCACGCTTTTGACTTAGGTCTGACCTGACCCAACCTTGGATGTTATCAGCCTTTGCAAGTTAACCAGGAGAAGGAAGAGGTTTCTTTGTGTCCCTAGTTTTCAAATAAAATTATAATAAATAAGTAAAAAGAATTAACATCTCTTTTATGTTTCAAATTGGCTTTTAAATAGAAGCTGGATTGCTTTGTAACTTTCAGAAGGACACCTGCTATTATTATGTTCTTTACATAGGAGAAGAGTTTTTTGTGAACCCTAGTTTGGAATCTTGTGGTAACAGCAAGTAAGACCAAGTAAAACTTGAAGGAATAGTGTTTTCCATTTTTATCCAATGCTAGGTCTCCAAGATATTTTTAAGCTCAGTAATGTCAAACATTAAATAGAAATCAGAGTTCCTCTTCTTTTGATTGTCTCTTGTCTCTCCTGACCTAGAAAAATAATAATTTTGTTTCACCTTTGCTAGGGTCTATAAATAAACTGTTATTTTGATCATGGGATCTGTTCCCTGACTATAATTCATGTCCTTCTAAGTGGCATTTCCTGGAAGGCTAAGTCAGTTCATTAATTTTCAGAGGGAGCCATCTGTGGAAGTAGTCACATTAAGGAAAGAAAAGCCTAAAAGCTATTGCCCTCCCCTTTTCAATCCAAATTTGAAAGGGTAATTTACTTCAAAGTGATTGCTTCAACTTCAAAAAACTTCACTATGATTGTTGTTGAGCAACGCATTCTCAATAAGGGCTACTTAGAAGAATATCCTATACATTGTTGAAGGCAATTTGCTAGCCAAAACTTTCTGTATTGACAGTACAGGGAGGGGGAGAAAGAAAAGAAATGGGAGTTTTTAAGATCAATAGTAGTCTTTTCTTGATTTATATGCACTCTATTATTTTAATAATAAAATCTATACTAAGCAAGTCAACACACTCTACTTGGTGTGACAAACCTTTGTTAAATTATCTCAAAGTTACTTTTGACCATTATTTATCATGGACCATAGGAAACAGAATTATTATGAAGCACAAATAATTTTTTTCTGATTATGTTAAACTTTTTAAAACAGATTTTTTTTTCTTTTGGAGTTTAGATCTGACATATCTGACATTCATTGATATAAATGGAAAATAATTATAGCAAACTGATACTAATCATTCCTGATGCGTGGCCTTATTTGTGAGTATGCATTATACATTTCAAACATCCTATACCATGTATTGTGAGAGCTTGGGTTCTTTTCCCTGCTTGTGGCCCGGGAAAAGCATTAAAAAAGCCAGTCTTTAACAGCAGCTGTAGAACAAGTGTTTTTCCACAAACTCACTTAACTCTTCTTTAAAGTTTCTTTATTTGAGAGAGAGAAAATGCTCCCATCTTGGTCCAATCCAAATACCAGCAATAGGCAGAACTGAACTGGACTAAAACAAGGAGTCTGAAACTCAATTCAGGTCTGCATAACAAGGGATGCAGTTATTTTAGCATCACTGGGAAGCTGGGGTCAGGAGCCACAGGCAGGTGTCTACCCCAGTGCTGTGATGGAGATTATGGTATCTGCTAGCTATTAGGCTAAAACCCTGCCTCAGAACTCATTCATTTTTACACTGTGATTATGAAGAATGTATAAATAAATGATCTGTGTTAGATAAGAAAGAGGTAGTCATAGTCTCTTTTTTTATTGTTTGTATATACATGTAGTTTGGGAGGAAATTTTCAGGATGATTAATGCAGACAATAGTGTGAACCTGTTTCTATCCTCACTGCTTCCACCTGTAATTATTTTGAAGGAAATCCTGGAGATCATTTTCATTTCACTTGTAAATATTTCAGTTGTCACGTAAGAAAAATTATGATTTTACTTATTTGTAGTTGTATGCAATGAGTAGATCATCAGAAATCCAAGCCCTGTTCACAGTTCTCAGTCTCTTCATTTTTTAGGTTCCAAAATAAGAGCCAGGCATTTCAGCCTGGAAGTTTTTTTCAGACTATTGATCTTTTGGCATTTACAGCTTTGTCTCTCACTGTCTCTTTCACAGGTTCTCTTCCCCCCTTTCTTCTCTCCCTCTCTTCTTCTCACACATGCAAATTATCTATTAAAGAAAGTAGATCCGAGTGCCTTATAAGAAGATGGAAAGCAGAACAGGTTGGACCACTCTCCCAGTCAAGCTTTGCAGCAAGTGTTTGAGTCTATGGATGCACAGTGAAGTGCACCTTGGAAAGATCTCAACTCTGATGCAACAAAGCTGATGCCATGTCTCAGCACTATCAAAACCAATCAAGTGACACCCTCAGAACACTCTTCCCCTCGTTAGTGTCTCTAAGGCATCATCCAATGACTGTTGCTCATCTCCATGTGCTAATGTAGTTTGACAGCATGAAGAGGTCCCATCCTTTTCCCCTTTCCCTCCAGCAGACACAGGAGTTTTGAGAGCTGAATCATTGACTGCTGGTGGTAATAAGCTCCTTGTTTAAATAGGTTCATTAGATGCATCTTTCAGCCATCTAGGACAGCTTATTTTTATATTTAAATAATTTCTTTTAATAATTTTATTTAAAAAAAAAAACGTATAAATGGATTTGCTGGCCATAGTCCCATTAGAATTCTCCAGACATTCAACATTTCTAGATTTCTACAATCACAGAATAAACTGTAAGAAAAGGTTACCAGTCCTGAGCTTAGTGGTGGTCTAGTTGTTCCTAGCTAACTTACTGTGTCAGGTGACAAAGATGTTTTCCTCTGTGCCTTTTGCATAAGTATTCTGTCCCAACAAACTATTTTCCGCACATTTTTTTAAAGACACCATGTATTTCAAAATATTGTGCACCAAAATAAGCTGTCTTTAATTCTGAAGTTTTTTTCTTAAATACCTTTGTTTGGTTATGTACTTGTCTGTATTCACCCATTTTTCAGGAACATGTAGCTCTACTTCCTGTTTATATCTGTAATACTATCTGCAGGTTTTACTGTCTTCCCTCTGTACTCAATGAAGAATTCTCCTCCTGCTGTTAACCAGCTTTCTGCTAGCCAAAATATTTGTACACTACAGTGACCACTAGCTCCTAGTAGCTAGTAAGAACTTAAAATGTGGCTCATTTAAAGTGACATGTAAGCATGTCATAGTAGAAAACATAAATGGAAATTTCAAGACCTAATCTGAAAAAAGAATATAAAATATCTCAATTTTTTACATCAATAATATGCTAAAGTGATGTCTTGGTTATGTTGGTTTACATAAAACACATTATTAAAATTAATTTCACCAGTTTCTTTTTTACATTCTGAAATGTGGTTTCTGAAAAATTGTAAATTACATATGTGGCTCAAATTGTATTTCTACTGAGCAGTAGTGCTTAAAAATAATGTGAAACTAATCGTTATACAGACAGCCAAATCCCTATCTTTGTATAATAGTTCTATCCGAGCCATTATTTGAATTCGAGCGTAAATTTCTTGGTCTACAAAACATGTAGTTGCTAGCTTGCCACGTAGCATGGTAGGAGCTGTGTGTTGCTTCTGTTTTTTGATCTACATGCAGGCACAATGTGTGTCATCAGGTGTCACACCCACAACCACTCAGAAAAACGGTTAGATTGTCAGTATAAATGGCATCGTTGTCTTGGCTGTACAGGGCTGTATTCAGCATTTAAAATGAAATAATTTTGACATTGTGAGGGTTATATTACTTTATGGATCTTTAGCTGTGAGCTTTGTAAATGAATATAGCATGTGAAATAAATGTTAATGAGGAAAAGCTAACTGTTTTAGTGCAGTAAACACTAACTTATAGTTTTACTGTGTTAGCTGATAACATCATATAGTACGCATGAATATTGGAGTAAGAATCACTTTACTGATTCCCCTGTTATATTACTCTTCAAAATACAGCTAACATATGATCAACATTATGGTTATGATATGCCATATTTATTTTATTGCAAATTTTAAGATGCTTATAAAAGATAGCAAACTCGCTTAAACTGAGATAAATCAAAACAGGTTATGTTTTAATCTCCTGTAATTTAGTGTAAGTACTAAATGTTACATGCTTTGAAATATTATTTGGTCTTTTAATATATGGCTTTCACTTTTTAAAAATACCTATGCTTGGGTTTGAATATTGAAAAATTCTCAGAATTGGATCTTTTAAATTTTCAAATGATCAGGGATAACATTGTAATTACATTTGGTATAAATATAGTAGCTAGGCAAAAAGAAATTGCTGGATCATTATAGAAACAGGCTCTTGAAACGTACCAATTTTTTTTGTCTCACTTTTTAGGAAACCAGAATTCGAGTCATGGATAAAGATGCCAAGAAAAGAATGCATAGTTTCTCTGTGATCAACCCGGTTTCTGGACAAGCTGTCACTCAGATTTTTACAGTTGACGATAGAGAAGATCTTCAGAAGTGGATGGAAGCCTTCTGGCAGCATTTCTTTGACTTTAGTAAGCAGATATTTAGATCTTTTCATTGTGTATTCACATAACCTGAGAGGTGGCACACAATACTACAGTATCAAACCTGTAATCTTACAGTTTATAGCAGCAATTTTTATATGCTTGAGAAAATGGTTGTGAATCATCAGTGCCCGGTGCTTTGTTCTCTCACCCTTCCCACTGCCTGTCCTATCGTGTGCCTTTGAATTCCCAGCTTCCCTTCCTCATACTCTTAAGTTCCATTCATCCCTAAAACAATCAGACCACATTCTTTCAAATAATAGATTTTTGGCTGCTTCAGGCAGTGTCTTTGATTGAAGGGATATGAAGCCATTTGAGGAACAAAAAACTTCCAGGATAATGATGTTCCAGAAATACTGAATTATTCAGAAGGAGCCTCATTTTTATTTAGCCTTCTGTTAACTTCATCATATTTGTTATAAAATCAACTTGCACATCATTCAAAGAGGTGTTTTTGTTTTTAAATACATATATGATTTTCCTGTTTCAATAATACTGTCCAATGATGTGGATTCTGAAAACAGTATGATAGTAATTCAATTTGATTCCAGTGTGTAAAACATAGGATTTTAATATTTAATTCTCAATTTAAAGCATTTAATCAGCCTGAAAAATACAAAAATGGTAGCAGTTTTTTTTTCTTCATTAGTGATAAATTTACACTGTATTTACTATCTGCAGTTTTATGATGGAGAAGTTTGATGAAGGACATTTCTGATCAAAGTAGGCCTACTGTCACATTTAACCTGTATCTTCTCTCTGTAGAATGCCAATGTGTAGAATTATAAAGTAGTGCCGTTTCTAAACAATGGAAAGTTATTTCTGCATCTCCTACTAATAATCCTAGAAAATATTTTAAGAATGCTGTTTCCTGGAACACCATGAAGAATTAATGCCCTCAGTGCTCGGGCTAATTTTTACAGCCCTGCTCAGATCCACGTGTCCTCAAGGATTACAGTCAAAGTCAGAAAGGAGGCATAAAGGGAGCCAAATGTACTGATTCCTTCTCATGTACCAGATGGCTTTGTTGATTCCTCGTAACATCCCTGGACATAGAAGTTATTTCCTTCTGCTCTACAGATGAGAAAACTGGGACTTGAAGAAGTTCTGGTTTATGGCGTTAAACTAGATGATTCCTTTTATGGTCCTCTGGTATTTTTTTTTTTGTAAGAACTTGTTTTCCTTAACTGCCATCTCCACACACTCAATACATGTTTAAATCTCTGCCCCATGATTATCAGCACGTGTTGTAGTTCTTTAGTTTAAACTTTCAGTGGAGGTCGCTTAGTGATGCAGAGGGTTAAGCTGTCACTCCATCACATCCCGTACTCTGGGGCACGGTGGATCATCCAACTGACCTGTTTCCAATCCAGCTTCCTGTGGGTGTGCCTGGGAGGCAGCAGTCGTGTTCCAAGCACCCGTGTGGGAAACGCAAGTGGAATATCTGATTATCGGCAGCATTGAAGAATGAACCAGCAAGTGGAGGATCTGCCATTCATTCTGGATGTCTCTGTCTCTTCTGTCACTATGCCTTTCAAATAAACAAATAAATCCTGAAAAATAAATAAAATTTAGGTGTGTAACTTAAAAGACAGCAGTTGTCGCTGTTCTGCAGAGATGGACTTGGTGCACAGAGCCGATAATAACATGCGTGGACTCTGACTGATGGTCGAAAGCCGAAGTTTATCAGTGGCATCAGACTTTATACACTGAGGGTCATATGAAATAAGGGAGGAGGTATTGAGCTTATCAACAAAACCCATCAACTGTTTCTAGACTTTTGTTTGGAACTCTTTTGTTTCATATATGCCACCAAACGTTCTCATTCACATGCTGTCCACTCAGCTGTTCTCGTACAAATGATACACTCAGTTGTTTTTCACACAAATATTATCCTACCAATCAGTAATCCTGTGCTCACTGACCTTCTGAGGTCACAATGTCCACTTACATACAGTTTCCCTTTTCTTTATGTTTAACTGCATTCCTAAATGCTATGGTTTTGATTCCTCCTTACAACAGACTGTGTTTAAGACTTATTTATTTGAAAAGCAGAGTTAAAGTAAGAGAATGGAAGAGACAGCCAGAGAAGGATCTTCCATCCACTGGTTCATTCTCCGTAATAGCTGCATGAGCTAGGGCTATGCTGGGCTGAAGACAGGAGCCTGGAACTCCATCTATGTCTGTCGTGTGGCTCTAGGGACATGGGCCCTTGGGTCATCTTCTGATGCTCTCCCAGTCCATTATGTTAACAGGAAGCTGGATCAAAGTGGAACAGCCAGGATTCAAGCTGGTCCTCATAGGGCTCACAGGTACCTCAAGCCGTGGCTATACAACCCGCAGCACAATACCAGCTTCCCAGAGACTTCTAATTTTTAGAAATTATTTTGGTATTTTATAATTCTTATGTGCTTAAAAATAAGAAGAGGTCAATGAGATAATAATGGTAGAACTTTATAGTGTGTGTATCAACTACTATTAGATGCTATTGTGTCTTCATTTTCTAGATTGTGTGAAATGTTATAGAGTTATAGTGAGGAATTGAAGGATGATAATATAATTTATTTTCAAATAGATAAGAAAGGGATGACAATATGGTTCTGCAGTCTGACTTCTTGATCTTTAATACTCTTTTGCATATAGAGAAGAGTAGTTCATATTGGTTCATGTAAGCATATTGGGCATCATGTATATCATTTATTCAGTGGCAAAATAAATGTCTCAGTTATGAAGTCTTGACCAGTGAACATACCACATTTGCACTTCTGCCTTCAGTAACTCACAAGATACTGTGACACTGTATTTCAGTTTTCAACATGATTAGAATTCCGCTATTCATTTAACAAGCAACTATTTTCATCCATCAATTTAGAGAAAATATTGTACTCCATAGCAATTTTTCTGAGAATATGCCAGGGAAAAGTTTGCCATTTTTAAGTGTTTCATGATTTTTCCATTCGATAAGGATTGTTTTATTTTCAGCTTCCAAGGGGTGAGGTTGCAGTGGGGGGAACTTACTATTATACATTTATCTTAAAAAAAGAAGGATAAGTTATCTCATGTCAGATCCTTCTAGATGTACAAGCTGGAGAGTAGCCTTTGAAGCCTTGTGCTTGGGAATTCATTCCACTTAATGAGCTGTCATGTGGATTAGTTTGAAATGTTTATTGTATTTTGTGTAGCAGCATACTAAAGCATACCAAAAGGTATGTGTGTTCCTAAACCATTTAAAGTGATACATTTAGAAGGTATGCATACATTGCTATTTTACAATGATATTACTTTCTATCAGAAACAGTAATAATGAATGATAATTTGACTAAATATGAAATACAGAATTTTTTTACCATGGAAAACAACCAGGTTGGATATTGAATGTGGGCACTGAGAATGTATGTGGATCATAAAGCAACCATGAAAGACACAAAGGTGTACTACAGTTACTTGTCTGCTGATGTGAGATGGGATGTTATGACTGACGAACCTCTACAACTTACATTTATAATATTAATTGGTTGACTCACTGTCTAGCACAGCAGACATGCTGGTGAACAATAAATATGGAAGGATTAAATTTTTTGAAACTATACTGGAAGAAGAGGGCTTAAAATTTTATTTTAATATTTAAGTAATAAAATTACAAGTTCATACTTTTAGATTTTAACGACATTTGCAGCAATTTATTCGAAACAGTCTTTTGTCTTACTCCAAATGAGTAATGACTTTAAAGTTTCTTACCTGAGACAAATTAAACTCTGCATGTTGAGTGATGTGTCTTTATGGTTACTGACCTTTCTGCTTTTAACTTAAAATGAGTGTTTTTTTCTAGAATTAGATGATTTTGAAAGGCATGGAATTGTTAAATAAACAGTCCTTGATTTCTCAAATAAAACTTTGAGTTAAAGCCATTTTTAAGAAACACCCTTCCGTGCATGGCTTCTCCTGCCACCTTGTAGGTAACTAAACTTGAGATCAGTTTTGCTTTGCACTGTCTTGAATACTGAATATTTCATTTAATGTTTAAAAGAAGAGAACCTCTATAAATTTTTTCCATGTTACAAATTTTCAAGTACCACATCACTATTTGTTGAACTAATGCAGTATATAGTAGCCTAGAAGTCTTAACTTAGAAGCTGTATATAGACTTCATTTTTTTAAATAGGTTAGCTTTATGTCCGGAATTAGACTCTGGGTAGTTCTAGGTTTTTGTGCAAGCTTCCTCTAGGCAGTGCTTTAATTCACTGCGATTTTTTTTCAAAGAGAAGAAATGTGTTGATAGCTATTGAAAATCAAATATATCTTTACATTTTATGTTTTAAGCCAGGCAGCCTTTCTTTTTTTTTTTTTCCTGTCTTACTTAGGCCAGTGGAAGCACTGTTGTGAAGAACTTATGAAAATTGAGATTATGTCACCACGGAAACCACCTTTGTTCTTGACAAAAGAGGCGACCTCGGTCTACTATGATATGAGTAAGTGGGGCTTGTGTTTTCTAAGCTGCAGGGTAACAAAAACAACATTGTCCATACTCAAGCAGCTTATTCTGCTGGCATTAAAATGCTAAAATTTTCAGAGCCTAATCAAAATGAATGAAAACAGACTATGATTATAGACTACGAAATTCATGCTTAATAGATGAAATAATACAAAATTGATGAATATGCATATTTCATAGTTTAAATGTTCAAGCTCAAATGATTTTAAGGCTTCGCATGAAATAAAGGTATTCTGAAAATAAATATTAGCTGAGTAGCTGATGAAACTTTTGAAAATACAACCCTACAGATTCTAAAATGTAATTGTGTTCAGTAATTTTTCTGTGTTTTATTAAGTTTACTTTTAAGCAATGTTACTTAGATGAATATTAGTGAGTGGAAGCCTTCATTTTGGGTCCAAAGAAAATTAGTTAAGTTTTCATACTTTGGAAAATTCAAGATTTCTGTACTTGGTATTATTCCATTTTCTCTCGCTCTGAACCGTGTTTATTTATCTTGGTGGGATCACATTACTTTCACGTGCTGTAAGATGTTAGATTTTTGAAAAATGGCTCATTTGGGTTGACACATTTTCTCAAGGAAAGCTTGACACAGCAACTTTATCACCAGAGTGAAATTAAGATTTCACTTCATTTCCCAGGATTTTTGGTTTTGTTTTTCCCCTCTCCCTTTTGCCCTTCCCCTTTCAATACAGACTTTGCTGGGCTGAGGAAAAGAATTCTGATCCCATTATAGAAACCCTGATATATGTATCAAAGCTTATTGAAAGGAATCTTACCTGAAAGTGAAATGGTCTCTAGTATTTAATCCATAGAATTTTTATAAGTGCTCTTGTAGCATCATTTTACTTATAAATGTTTGTATGTGTGTCTATTATACACAGGTATATGGTTTGTATCTTTACAATATCTATAATATATGTATCTTGTATATGTATAATAGCTTATGTATTGTGTGTGCATGTGCATAACCTGTAGTGTGGAGAACGATCTTGGTTTTTGGATCAGTTAGTATGGCTATTTTTATAAGTAGGTATTGCTTGCTGAAATCTTAAGTTTTTGATAAGTTTGGAAAATAGCAACTTATGCATATTATTTTAGAATTTTTTCCCTATGTATTTTTTTCTAAAAATTATTACAGGCATTGATTCACCCATGAAAATTGAAAGTTTAACTGATATAATACAAAAAAAAATTGAGGAGACAAATGGACAATTCCTTATTGGTCAACATGTAGAAACGGCCCCACCTCCTTGGGCCGCACTTTTTGATGGTGACCACAAAATGGTCATCGAGAAAAAGATACTGTCTCCTGCAAGCGAACAGCCACCTGACGGGAAAAGGAAAAAGAGACGAGCTCCTCTTCCTCCTTCTGATAAACCTCCATTCAGCTTAAAAGCACAGAGCAATTCAGAGCAACAAACACTGGAGGACAACTGGGGAAAAACAGACGTATCTCGGACTTCACCTTTAGATACCAAACTGTCAACCCTGATGCACCACATACAGAAACCCATGGCTGCACCTCGAAAACTGCTTCCTGCCGGGAGAAATAGCCTTCCTGACAGTGAGCAAGCAGACACTCAGACCAGCTGTGAAGCCAAGCCAGTGCCAGCCCCACGGCAGAAATCCATCAAAGACATTTTGGACCCCAGATCATGGTTGCCAGTATAGAAAACCTTTCATGCACATAGCGTCTAAAAACATCTCTAACTGTGAGGTTTAATTCAGGGATATTACAAACGTAGTATTGTGTGAAGGTAGAGGTAAATATGATAGTGATTCACATAAATAATTAATAAGCTCTTAGGTGTTGAAAGGCATTTTATATTGAAGAAAAGACTTTTTCTTTTCTTCTGATTTCAGAATATGAGTGATTTTCCCTGCAGAGGGCAAGAGGCAGTTTGTAGACAATAATCTAATTGTTGGAAGGGTTAATTTATTCCTAAATTAGTACCAGGCAGTGAATAAGCACTAGGCAGAAGAAAGCATTAAAATTTCTTTGGGGGAAGAGATTGTCTAGTAATTTAAAATGTGTTAAATGTGAGCCATATTCTCATTGTGAGAATTTTAATACTAATGGAATGTTTCAAAGGTTTTATTCAAACCACAAATTATAGAATCCGCCCAAGAAAATTTTCTTCTTAGCATTCTGGATTTGTCATCTCATGGTTCACTGGCTCTCTTCTATTGTTTAACTCACTAGTTTATAGGCCTGACCTTTTAAATTCCTGGGATAAATTTTGGAATATTAAATTCTTCATCTTTAAAGGGAACTTGTAATGTGCTATTCATAGTTGTTCCCTTGATGAGCCCTGAAATCCTATTGACATGAACTCTCATAAGTGAAGCATAACATCCATTAGTTTAGACAAACGGTATTGAAATGGCCTTAAAATCTACTTTTCAGTATGCGGCGCTAATCTCCACTATGACTTTGGAATTCAGGGAAGTGAGTAGCTCATTAGCACTTTAAAATTTATCTAAGGTTTATTTAAAAAGCAGATGGCAGATTCAAAAATATCCGGAAAATTTGCCCCGTAAAAATATTCAGAATTAATCCTTTTAGAAATTTTAATCAGTTTTCCTTTTGCTAGTAATAAGGGTCGATGTCTGCTGTTGACATTCCTCATTAAAAGTTATATTTTTACAATAATGACATTGGAATCATTTCCATAAGAGGTAACTTTCATACAGTTAATCATAGTGACCCAAATAGAATTATGAAATCAAGTACAAAATGAGTTAATTTCTTTTTAAAAAAAATCAATTTTTTAAAAAATAATAATGCTTCTTATAAACGAGAACAGAAAAGCTGAATTTTCAAATAAAACCGTAAGACAGTTTCCATAAGGTGTCAGTAATAGCATTAAAAATCTCCAATCACAGTGTACCCTCAAACCTCATTGCAAGAAATAAAAATATAAGAATTAAATTACTATCCAGAATCTAATCTCCAGAGATCTTTTTAAAAGCTAGTGAGAACTCTACTTGGATCAGAACCTACGTTATTACAAAATAAAATGAACACTTGACCGACCGAAAAAAAAAAAAAAGAAGCATTCATTTAAATGGAGTCTTTGTTATTTTTAGATAGCAGAGTCTTTTTTCATTTGTAGAGAGTGATGTAACTGCCAGGTTACTTTTGTGCTTGCCCAGTGCTCCTAGGAAGAATTGGAACTCTAGGGAGCAACAGTACAAAAGGTCTCTTGTGATTGGCCACACCATGACAGACATAGTGTTTGGTAAAAAGAAAACACTATATGCTCGCCTGATGGAATTTAGAAGCAGTCCCGTGTACAAAAACCTCAACACCAAAGCAAAACAAACCAAAATAAGATTGATTTTTTTTTTTCCTAAATAGAAGACTCATACATTTCTGTCAGGCTTGCCATTTCAATATATGATATACAAAAAAAAAATCTAAAGGGTATTTTTGAGTTATTTATTTTTTTAAATCCCACTGTTACCTTTAATGTTTGTGATGTCTTTACCACTAAATTATGGACGCAGATGATGCTGCCGGCCAAATTGTTCCTGAAGCTGGAATTTAAGCATTCTTCCCCACCAGCACCTAAATTGATGCCTTGCTTTGTGACAAACCAATATTAACATTTCCAAATTGTATTCTTGTCATTTCTTTTCATGGAAGTTGTACAAGAAAGAGAATATATTCACAGAGATGCTGCCTAACAGCTGTGCCCTCCGAGGGGGACTTTGAAGAGGAATGAAGGCTTCTTGCTGGAGCCCTTAGGGGAGGCCTTCGGGGGCACCAGCCCAATCCTCCCGCACCACACCGTTGCCCTGACTTCCAGAGGCCTGTCCCAGTGTGTGTTACGGAACCCCTCAAGTCCATCTGGAGTCCTCAGATGTGCTTCCTGGGACCCTGTGGTTCCTTCTGGGCTTGACCCTCCACAATCCCCCATAGAGAGACATAAGCATTGTTGTTTTTGTTTGTTTGTTTCTTCAGTCCCTTTCTACCTTCCCTCTCCTTGTCCTCTACATTCCTTCCATCACGGTTGAGAAAATAATCTAAGAATACCGAGCTAAACATCGTCAAAGAGTTCATCAAAGGAAGTGTTTCTCGGTTCCTAACCCAGAAGTTTGTAATTCAGAAATATGCCTTGTGATGTGAAAGGCATTTCAGCTCATCATGAGCTGGTTTTTCACATTTCCCTTTTGTCCCTTTTGTTTTCTTTTGTATTAAGACACCAAAACTTGAAGAATTAACTGTCAGATCTTCATAGTGATCACTGGAATACATAGCATAAAAGTCTAGATATCTTATCATTTTGATGAGCTAAAGATAATATTCAAAGACAATTGCAGTTACACATCAAATTCTGGGATATAAATTTCTTATAACAGCACTATGATAATAATATTTGTCATGGCTACAAGATGGTCTTTTTATGGTAGAAGGGCAGAGAAGCATTTCCTTCATTACAAATGTGTACCTCCCAAAGTAAACAGTCTTCCAGAAGTATCTATCAGACATGCCAGCTCTTGCTGAGTTTTGTTAAATCCACCTTTGCTGTCTACAGTGCCCCCTGACTTCTTTTTAAATGGATGTGAATGTACATGGGAAACCGAATCCATTTATTATAAATGCCTTATCTTCACCCTTTAGGATCCTACTAAATTTATTTTACCTTGTCCTATTTGTTAGAAATGGAAGCTGCCCTGACTTAGAGACAGCTCATATAAGATAGGCTAAGCAGTCAAGTGTTTCTGTAGGCTCATATTCGCTACCTCAGCCACCTACTGAGAAGTTAATTAATTCAGTCCAGAACCAAGTTATAAGGCAGTTTGGTGCAATTCATGTTAAATGCCATTTGAATGTAATCACCTGTGTTACTCAAAATGAAGAACAACCATGCTAGAGAGAGACTACTCTGTGTTATGAACAGGAAAGAAAAGCTTTTGCTGGGAAAATATCGGTCCCTCAGGTCAGAATTTATCAAAACCTGTTGCCTTTGAAAACTAAATTATTGAACATGAATTAAACTTTGAGGCCTGTCTGTCATCTGCTGGTTATCTTCACTGGCCATGGAGTCTTAAGCTGTAATAGAGATTGAGGTGACTTTACAGACCTCCAGTTCAGAAGCAGCACTGTTTTTAAATGTTTGCTTGCTCACATAATCCTGGTTCACTGCTAGTGATTGTCATATAACAACTCTTTTCTCTGAATCATGTAGTTTCTTAGTTAAACTCCAGGAAAGATGTAAGCTTTGAGTTTTTAAAAACACCTGATTTCACCCTGAAAAATATAGTGGAGTGTATTACTTTCTTGGATGTGCTTGTATAATTGGAATTATTTGTAATTTTATTTTTGGTTAAATATGGGTCAAAACTCTGGATTAAAAAGTATCAATTATTTTCCGCAGACACATTTTTTTAAAGTATCAAGGATATTTTCTAAGGAAACTCAAGTCATGTGATTAAAACTTCTTTATTAAAAGATGTGATTCCTGAAGACACTGTCTGATATTTTCCTTAGTTCCAATTCCTCCCTACATTAGACTGACAGAAGTACATAGTGTAGTTGAATGAGTTGAGTCAGAGGAGCTTGAATCAGAAAGACATAACTGGTACTCAGTATAAGACCAATATTCTGGTTGCCCTGATTTATTTAGCATTTACTAAAATGTTTTCATATAGTACTACTTCTTGAGGTATATATAGATGCTCTCTGGAAAAAAAATATCATTGATGTAACTTTATGTTTAGTTGAGTGATCCAGAATTTCCCTCGAGTTTAATTTGCTCTGATGATAAATTAGGTACCTAGGATATTCAGTGTTAGCTGTAAGGAGACTTCTGATTTTAATTCACCTCCTTTAGTACTTACTTTATTCCCATGGAGCACCTTGGGGGAGGGGAGAGGAACAGTTCTGCCTCCAGTATGCCTATTTCAGTATTTTATTTCTAAATCTACAATATAGCCAGAAGTGCTTAATGTTTCCTTTGAGGAAAAGACGTCTCCTCTCTGAGAGGTCTACTAATCAGTTTTCTAAGATAATCAAAGGTTCTTATGGTTTAATTAATGATATAGCAAAAAATTATTGCAGGCCTATTAATAAACATTTTTCTTTATCCAAGTATCGGACTGAATACAAATCCTGACATGTTTGATAATAAGGCAGGATCATTTCAAATCGTACTGCAAGTTAGGTTTTATATTGCAACCATTTGCTTTTGAGAGATATGGGTGTCTTTTGATGTAAAGGAGAGGCTAGCTTGAAAAGATCTTGCACATGTATAATGACGCTATGTCACAAGCATGCTTCAGGACATCGCCATTCATTGTTGGGCTGGGAATGGGTGTTTGGTTTTTTCTTGTTATGCTCCCTGTGCCTCAACTGCCTTTCCTGCCTCACTGCACTTCCTGCTTTGAACCACAGGCAGCCGGCTGTGGTTGGCTTCTTAGTCGCAGCATCTCTGAGTTCACCAAGACCTCAACCCTTCCCCACCTAGGCACAGCACATTCCATCTTTTGCACCTTCTCTATATTTCTCTTTGAATATCCTCAGCCTGTGTATTCTTAGATTCCCTTATATATTAATTTTGTGAATTTGTCCCTTTCCCCACAAATCACAATGACTTCTGCAACTTAAAACTGCCTTTCTTTATCATCACACATTTCATCAGATGAGAAGTCTGAGCAGGCTTGGTTGAGTTTGCTGCTGAGGATTCTGGCTGTTGGCAGAAGCTGGTGTCTTCTGCGTGTAGGACTAACTGTTGGCTGATGGTCATTCTAACTTCTAGGGACTGCACTTCAAGGCCTTGTCTGTGTTCTCCCCTCCAGTCTACAGAGCCAACAGTAGTGCATCTAAGCTCAGGGCTGCAAATGTGCTTTTTCTCTTTGGTACCTGTTGTTTTGCTTTTATAGGGCTCATGAGATTATGCCCCAGTATAATCTTCATTTCAATTGATTTGGAGGTCCATTGATTTCTAGCCTTAACTGCATGTGGAAAAAAAAAAACCTTTTGTATTCAGTATAATCACAGATGTATTATCCCATCATATTTGTACGGCCAGAAAGGTTGGTGTCGCAGTATATGGTATATGGTAATAAGAGTGAATACAGATCCTTGGATATATAATATATATAATATATTGTGTCACATGTTATTTAATCATTGTCATACCTCTGATTAGCCCCATTTAACTTTTGTAGAGAAGCAGAAGGCATGCCTGGTGTCATGCTGTATCATAATTGAGGATGATTTCTGTAATTAGATCTGAATTAAATTCTGTCTCTGCCATGAGTTGGGGCTGGCATTATGAATTTTTTTAAAGCTCACATCCTTTGTTTTTGTTTTTGTTTTTGTTTGTTGCTTTTTTAACTTGTAAAATAGAAATGGTACTTACATAATAGAATAGTTGTGATTATTAAGTAAGATAAAGCATGTAACACCTTTGTTCCAGGGCCTGGCACTTAAGTCTTGTCTTATCTTTACAATATGTCATGTGTGAAAAAGGGGAGAGAATATTTCTATTCTTGTGACTAATTATGGTGACTTAAGATCACTTACAACTCCTTCCCCATTTTAATTTTTTTTTCAGTGTAAACATATTGGGTTTACAGTGCATACAAAGCTAGAAAATATCTAGAGTGTGTCTAAATATTTCTTGTCCTTTCTGACTAGTACTCCATATTTGACCCTGCTGGGGCTTAGAAATCAAAAGAATGCCTGTTCTTTTTTATCCTAATATTCCTTTTTACGTGTATTAAAAGTGATACTGAATAATGGGTTCTAGCTTGCCAAAGATTTATTTTTAGCCCTGTCTATAAAAGAATACCTGTTCTTGAGAAGCTCATATTCAAATGGGTAGGACCATCCCTGTTAGAAAATGTTAAAATGAATTACTGTTTGACCTGCCCACGTTTGTCTGCAGACATACATTTTAAATGATCACCACCACTAGGAAATTCATGTTAAAAAAGACTAAAGAATATGTAAAATAATTTTGAGTAATTTAAAAGAGTGCATTCAAGTGCTATGAAAGATCAGTGAGGAATATGGGAACTCTTACAAAGCAATGTTTCCATAAATGCAAAAGGCAAAAGGCAAAAGGCCTTTGTACCTTTTCAAGAAAGCTAAACATTATAATATTGTGTATTCTAAATGCCTTGCAAAGATGTAAGTACTAATTATAATGGGATTTTTCAAATGTAAGAATGAAAATCGAATTGGACAATTTATCCAGTGAAGTTTCTAGAGGAGTTTAACTCTAAAGGGAGATAAGTAGTCATGGAAGCTGTGGGAGGAAGTGGCTTGGATAGGACAGTTGGCTAAGCAGGAATGGGGTGAGCTTATTGCAATGGTGAGGATTAACACGAGGCAAGACAGCTTGTCAGGACAGCAAACATGGGGAAAGGAGAGAGGACCACTTTCAGGACTTGGAATGCCAGCCTGTGGAAGTAAGCGTAGGGCAAGTTGGAATAGTTGTCCTCAAAGCTAGAGTTGGCAGAGTTAGTGGAACGAACACTTAGTTGATGAATTGGGGAGGCTGGATTCGAGCCCCTGGATACCATGATTTAGTTTTGTTGGTTTGGGCAACTTCCTTTATCAGTAGCTTAAAGTGAGGTAGAGAACTCTCTGCTCCTGGTTTGGTACCCTAAAGGAGGCACCCAATAGTGATACTAAGTGGGTGGGCCTTCAGTCTCCTTATTTTGCTAAAGTAGCTCTGAGTTCATCTATGTTTTATCATAGCACGACTACAACAGTCCTCATTTTACAGGTAAGCAGCTTGAATCAGAACAAACAAGTAACTTGCCCAGTGCTCACAGTAAGTGACAAAGACAAGATTTGAATCCATTCAGTCATTATCCAGAGTGAATTCTGTCCTTCTCCATCAGATGTAATACCCTGTAATGGAGTGTGAAGTGGCAGGGAAGCATTGAGGGAAGGTGTTGCCAGTGTCGAGTCCCATCTCTTTGTCTTTGATGCTGTGGTCAGTTGGAATATCCCTTTGCATTAAAGTTCTAAATGAGGTGGACATTGTGGCACAGCCTTTGCTTGGGACACCCAAGTTCCAGCTGTCCCACCTCCAATCTGGCTTCCTGCTAATGTGCATTGTGGGAAGCAGAAAATGATGGCTCAACCACTTGGGACCCTGTCAACCATGTGGGAGACCTGAATGAAATTTCCACTCAGACCTGATTGTAGTAAGCATTTGATAAAAGAGTCTCAGTCTCTCTCTCTCTCTCTCTGCCTTTAAAAAAAAAAGTGAAGACAGAACTATTTTTAAAATGCATCCCAAAAGGAAATGCACTCACAATTAAATTGGCCTGCTCTGAGCATCATGTCTGGCTCTTGGTGGAGGGCACTTTGGGGTAGGTGAACTTGATTTTGCTGCCAAGCTGCAGAAGGAATTAGTAGGAATATAAAGAAGTGGTAGGACACCTGAGAATATTTGAGTGAACTGAAAGGTGTGCTATTTGAGCCAGGCCTCAAAGGATGAGTTGTTCTTCTTTAATTACATTTCTTTAGGTTACAGGCATTTCAGGGAGTCAACTGACACCAATGTGTTTCCTCTGTCTGCCCGTCTGTCTCTTTCTTTCAGTCTCTCTCTGCCTCTCAAGTAAGTAAGTTAAAATTTTTCAAAACATTTTTTATCTATATCCAGTTCTCTGATGTATTGGTTTTTTGTTTTTGTTTTTGTTTTACCTTCCAGTCTTTTTGCAAGGTGGAAGGGGAGTGTGACACATCAGATTACATCCACCTGTGAATGTTAGCATGACTGAGTTTATCAAAAATCTCTCCTCAATAAGCAAGAGGGAAGGAGAGGCCTGAGGATTGTGAAAGAAGGTGAACAGATTGAAGAGAGAACACTCTAGGGGCCTGGGGCGATCCTTATTCATATGTGTCCAAGGGCTTGGAATAGAGTCCATTGGATCCATTTCCCTTGGCAAGAACTTCTGCACCTGTGTGTGTATGTGTGTTTGAGAGAGAGAGAGAAATTTGTGATGCCAAAATTGTGTCTTTTTTGTCCCCTCTTCCTCCCTTCTGCCGTCCTCTTCCCTCTCCTCCCTCGTCTTTCTCTGTCTCTGAAAAACAGAGGTTGACAGAGATCATCTAGCATTAATTCACTTCCTAAATGACAGCAACTTTTAGGGCTGGTGTCATGCAGCAAAACTAAACTGAATGAAGCTTTGGAGATCTAATCTCACTTTATGCTGGTTTCAATTCGAACAAACAAGTAAAATAAGTTTAAAGAACCCAGAGTGTGTTGAAGTGAACATGCCAGAAGTCTTATCAACACCAAGCGAGTATTGTCTGATGTTTAATTTTCTGCCACAAACTTCCTATGAAGGAATAGATAACTTGTACTACTAAGAAGGAAAGCTAGCAGTTTACCAATCTCATTATAAGTAGGACTACGTCACTAGCTGCCTGGGCATGCAGAGGATGAAGTCTTTTCTCCATGCTTGTACAGACTGCAAATCAATCAGATTGATTCA